TCATGTCTCAGCGGACTTGTTATTGTGAGAGAGTGCGAGACGAAACAATCGACATTTTCGACCTGACTGTCACGTCGTAGAAGTTTAAGTGAGTATTCTTCACCGTTTCTTTCCGGGGGACAAAGATGCAGACAGTAACCAGATCTGGCAATGATAACCGATTTCCAATCGTCTGAAGTGAGCAGGGGTTGGCTACGAACCTTGAGCCTTATATAGGGTGAGACCCGCGCTAATGTTCCAACGAAATGTCTAAAGGAAGATTCGGTGTCGCCGCCCTTTCTGTCGGGGAGATCGAGAGTTCTGCGCGGATGGAGAGAAGGCCTGCTCCAGCTTGCTTCATTTGAAGTGGCCATGAAGGAGGGAAACTCGATAGGCTCTTTTAGCGCCACACCATGTTAAACCATGGAGGACCCTTTAAACTGTCTGCTCCATAGATCCAGTCAGACGGATTATCAGGTTGCCTCTTCTATGTGTGTCTGACCTTTGACCTTAAACAATACGAATGATCATGGTGATGGTAGTGGTAATTAATATGTGTTCATTAAGTCAAATCAAGCATTTATATACATCTGATTCACCTTAAAACGTGATGACTCAAAGTCTTGTACCGATTTCGACACGAACTATAAAACAAAACAGGATTTATCTTTAATTGCACAACGATTGTAATGTTCCCCGATCCCGACTGAACGAGCTCAAAATAATCAATCAGAGACGTAAAGAAACACGTCCTGAAAAAACTCTTCGAGATTTTAACTTAGGGAATTGTTAACTGTATACCTGAATATTCAAATTTGTTTTCGGTTACTGACCGCTCCAGAAATAATTAAAAGACTGACAGACTTAAACTTAAAGGTCGCGGCGAGATTTGTGGCATCTTCTACAGCTGCAAAATCAATAGTTTCTTGATTTCCCTTAGGGGCCTTTTTTAACTTCTTTTTATCCCATCAGACGATGACTAAACCTTAAAAGAGCCGGACGCACTTACCCCTCAATGATTAATCTCTTCGTGAAACATTCATTAGGTCCTAGGCATCCTCTTGCTGAATTAGTAAGGAGGATTGAGTTTCCTGATTCCATCGACTCTTAGATGGACCGTGGAGGCTAGTTCAAGGAATCCTATCCCTGCAAAATCTGAGTATACTTTCAAAGAGAGCGGCCATCGGTCGATTAGGTTCAGTCAAGCTTTACAACTTAATCGAATCCAAAAGCCTTCTAAAGTTTGTTTTGTTCCTGTGGGACAAGCAAGACAGAAGCTTCGAGTTTGTTTGCTCATTTGAAGGCAAAGTGAAGGCCCTCATGTGACAAAAGGAACATCCGATTATAAACTAGATTGCTCCTCCATCAACCTGGAGCTTCATCCTGATATCTAACAAATTAGATTACAGAGAATGGTTCCTATAACAACTTACCTTGTCAAATCCCAAGCTCGCCTTCTAACTACATCTGAACAAGGCCTACACTTTTGCCTTCCTGCATGCTGTCAGAAAGGTCAAACTATAGGATTGTTTCGAAGATTTTTGTTCTTGGAAAAAGTGGGCTGAAGAAAAGGCCATCATTTTGCACGACGAAGGGGATTTTTCGGACATAGAACTGTGAGAATTCGATGCACAGTTTCCCGGGTTTGAACAGGTTACTACACCCAAACACGCTTGATTTGTTGGAATATAGCACTAGTCCAAGAACGATATAGGTTTGGATGAAGTTCAACTTGATTCAGCCTTGCAGCAGGAGGATCTGTCAATCACGCACCGATAACGAATTGACCTGATTATTTCCTTTCATTCTAATGACTGTCAAGCCTTTTAATCGATTTGGCCCGCATTCATGCGCGTGATGCCCGGCATGCCTAGCTATTATCGTCGTCTACTTTAAGGACGGACGGGATTGCAATATCATTATTATCAGCCCATCGTTGCATATTTTATTGACAATAGACCTGCTCATCTTAAAACGGTGTCAAGAATAAAGCAGGTGTTAAAAGAATTCCATTCTCCTACAACTTTGAATAATGCAGATTCGGTGCATTAAAACAACACAGGTCATGCTTGAGTGTATTTTCAATCTATGAAGGAGATTCAAAGACATTTATATCGGTACCTTTAATTACTTGTCTTCACGTTCGTTAATGATTGTGACATGTATCAGATTTTATGTACCTTCCGTCCAATCTTTGATACACGCATTTACAGATGAACGAGCCTTTATTTTAATTATCCTATAAAAAAAATAGTATTTCCCATATTTTATATTGAATTTATCGTCACGATATTTTTCTGGAACCTCAAACTGTCAAAAAAAGAATTATTGGAAAGCCTATATATGTTACCGTGTTTCAGTCAAATTTCTTTTAAGAATTGTGTGATGTCCTCACTGACTCTCTTGAATTCTCTCCAACTTAGATGATTAAAACGCCCCAGAGGGCGCCCTACAACGAACGTGTCATAGTGTCTGACGTGCTTTCATTTCATTACGACTTGACGAATGGGCTTTGTGAACAAACTGCACTCACCTCTGAAAACGAAATGCTCATCCCAAAACTACAGCATATATGCTTGCACTTGACATTTCCCACAGCATATAGAAGAACTAGTGTTGCTGCCAGGCACTAGGCGAACGAACATCATGCGACTGAGCGAGCAATGCATTATCTGTTCACGTGAACACTATTGAGGGCGCCATGCCAACGGCGCGGGACGTTCGAGCGTGAAACTACGTTGATTGACGGTGTTCTCCTAGTACCGTTCTCTGAGAAGTTCTCCTCCATAACATTCCAAATTGAACGCCTCAATTCCTCACACACAAAGATCTCTACGTCAACATGAAAACGACTGTCAAGCAGTTAAGCAAATGCCCTATTTATTTGGTTATTATCTGTATTTAAAAACCTCCGGATTATTGCATCAAGCAGAGTGGCGCAGTGGAAGCGTGCTGGGCCCATAACCCAGAGGTCCGAGGATCGAAACCTCGCTCTGCTAACTTTTTGAAATTTTCTTTTATTCATTTTCTTTTTTTTGCCATTACGATCCAATGAAATACCAATCCGTCTGAATTGGTGCCTCATTAAAAATACAATTTTTAATTTTTTTTTTTTTTAGTCCAGTTGTAGCGTAAATGATATTCTTTGTGTGAAACTTCATTAAATTTGAAAGTAAATATTATGTTTACCTCCTTCCACATGCGCACTGTTTGCACACTTAGTGCAAAAAAAATTCTTTTGTCAGTAATTCATTATCTCATTTTGTTGTTTGTAAAATCATTATTAATAAGTATGCACGAGAAGCCACGACGATCTTATTTGTTTAAGGTCACAGATGGAGCTATTAGTGTTACGTGTGTAAACAAGAACAGATGGGAGGCGCTATACCGAATGGTAAACTTCACAAAACAGTCATGGCGCATTCGCTTTGTATACTTTGTTTCAGTCGTTCGTATATATGCTTTCTCACTACCGTCTGAGCAGACATAGTACATGTAGGGTGGAAATTCCTTTGTTTTTGTGTAGTTAAGAAAAACCTGTGAAAAAAACCCTTTAGTGTTTCTCCTCATTTTGCCACAAATAAACCCAACCAAAAATGCCTCTAAACCTGTTTTCCAGAGAGGGGAAAACACTTTTGGGACGTGGGCAAGTCCACACAACGTCGCTGCTACCTGGTTTACCTGCGGACATCTTTTTTGTCGGAAATCCACACAGTGATCTGTAATGCTTGTACAATAATGAACATTCAATACAATGAAGAAAAGAGCCACGTTTTTGGCATCCACGAAGTCAGATAGTGACGTCCAGTGTTGGACAAGACTTTCAAAATTTAATGACAATGATACACAAAATAGCGACACAAAAGGCATATGTGGTCGTCAAATATAGAGAAAAAGCTAAATCCTTGAACAACATCCAAAGAAATCCAAAAAGCGATGACTACAAAGAATCTCAAGTGAAGAAAACCGATACGCTTAATGGGATAACGATCAAAATGCTAAATTAAAACTAAATAATGATATAATTATGTACTAGCATGCAGTGGTGAGATTACTGATTTTGTAACAAAGATTTACACATTTAGTAAAATAATAAGAAGCAACAACGTTTTACAGATTTAGTAAAATAATAAGAAACACACTTCCAATAATGCGATATTAATGATATACTTATATGATTCTCATGAGAAATATAATAGTTGCGAACAACGACAAAGATAACGTCTTACAAAAACATTTTAAAAAATCAATTATAAAAACAAGCAAACAAACGCAATTCGGAATCCATTAAAAAATGGAATAAATAAACTTTCCAACACAGGCAAAGTCTCAAAAAGTTGATATTAGACTTCGTATTCGGTGATTGCTACTACAATCAATCAAAAAAGAAAGTCCCCCCCCCCCGTTCCAATACTTTTTTGTCTAAAAAACTACCGAGCACCTCTCGCTCAAATAATGACTAATCAGTACAGAAATTCCTTATTGACAAGTGATATACTTTTGTATACGTGCAAGTTGTGGTTCACACTCACCTTGCACGTATACAAAAGTGTAACTTTTTTTTTCGGCAGCATTTGTCATAAATTGCAAAATTGTGTACACATTATTACTGTTTTGGGCCAAACAAGGACTATGGCTGAATTGCTGAGGAATTTCTGTACTATTTCTGTACTATGATCAGTCGTAATTTGAGCAAGATGTGCCCAGTAGTTTTTGAGTTAGACAAGAAAGTATTAAGGCCAAAAAAAAAAAGTCTACGGTCTCTGGTTTCTAAACTTAGTGCAAATATATGGGAGTCCAGAGAGGCCACATAAAGCTTATTCTCGACCATAACCTAATGTAAAAACACGTTAGAATTGTGCAGCAGCAGGATTCCAGTCAAACCAGTGAGTTTGGCGGTTTTGAGACATCATCTTTCATTGAAAAAAAACCAACATTTTCATTTTGCCGACGCGCATGGCTACGGCGACGCGCGCGCATACCAGAAACCGGAGACTTTTTTTTTGGCCTAAGGGGGGGGACTTTCTTTTTTGGTTGAGTGTACCTTAAAATTGTGCATCTATAGGGAAAAGGCTGGCATAAAAATGGTCAAAGTTCACCATAACGTATCCCTTGGAAAACGATTGTTTGCACGCTTCCGTACTTTTATCCTCGCCTGAGGGATTTTAAATTTTCAGAGTCAAACCATCCAAGCTATGTCAACTCCTTTCTTTCTGGCCTTATCAACGGTCAGCATGGACGGCCGGATTCTCCTCCCCTTGGCTACCGTCTTCTGGACGCCTCGGCCGAACCGCTGGCCCAGGTAGGCCAGTATCTCGGCTATAGTGATGAAACTGGCTCCCAGAAAAAGCCCCAACTGGCCTCCAATATCACCTGAAAATTGATTAAAACAAACAAACAAATAGGAGTAAACAAATGAGACAAGTTTGAAAAAGAGGTAGTTCAGATGAAGACTGTTACCGCTTTAAGAAAAGCTTATTTAGGATCTCCGTCAAACCTTTCAAATTTAGTTTCATTATATCAATGAAAAGAAATCGAAAGAGAATGACCTGCTAGTTTCAATTACTGTAAATCAATTTAATCAATATTGAATTAATTATGTTGATCTTGTTATGTTGATGTTATGTTGATCTTGTTGCTATATTATCCATTGCACGTTGTCGCTTCCCTCGAAAACATGACCAGGAGGCTCAGGGTAAGTACCGGCGCCTACAGCCTAACTATAAGTTTGTGTTTCTGAAGTCATGTAGGCGTATAGTGTGATATATAGATGAACCGTCACCGGTGCCTTTACCGCTTCGGGCGTTGGTAGGCCTATGAACTGGAGAAAACAGCCCACAACTTACTGATCAACCCAGAAGGCGTGATGGCAATCGACTGCTCGTACTTCTGAAAGTTGATTTCACTGTAAAACACATCCAACACTATCCAGTTTTTACTGTGTATATAAGAAAAGGAAAAAAATATGGACAATGACTATAGACCGGATTCGCAAACTGTTTTTCTTTCACTTGCAAAATTAAGCCGGGTTTTAACTGAATTAAAACTCGGTTATAAAATCGGGGAGAAAATTCGAATTATCGAAATTGCTTGTCCGTACAAAAAAAATATTTCCAATATCCTCAGATATCTCATTGTCAAGTTACAAATGTTCGAACAGTTTGAAACTGTGATTGAAAGTGGAATCGGTGACTAAACTTACAGGATTTTAGAAGGACCTAGTTTACAGCATAAACTAAGGCCACATTTCCCATGTGTTTTCACCGCTTCCTTCGATATCTTAATACAATCATTTCTCACTAAACAACGAAGTGCCAAAAGAGTAGCTCACTTGATGTACTCAGGATCGTATGGGTCCGTGTCATTGGAGGGATCGTCGTCCGCATCAGACGAGGAATAGGAACTGCTCTTTGCGGAATACAAGGAGGAACTTGACGACCCAACGGTGCCATAAATGGGACTTGCTGTCACCGTCGCATCACTATCGGAACCCAACTCGACGGTGTCAAACAGTGTGGCTAACCAGATTTGGTTGGCGATGACCTGGCTAGCCACGGACGCCGTGGACAGTGAGGTAGCAAACCGGGTGTATTTGCAGGGCACCGGGCAATCGCACTCGTTGATCTCCCCTGACTGAATTTGAGCTGAAGAGAGAAGAGACGACATTGGAGAAAATATCTTCAACTCTCAATGAGAAATAAACATTGCATTGTGGTGTCGAGTACTTTTCTCCGAGTACCAAGTTCTGCCGAGGACTTAGGTTACCGAGTACGAGTAAGAGTACGAGTAGGCCTACTTGTATAACCGAGTACAAGTACAGGTCTCCGAGTACGAGTTCTTGTACTTCCGAGTACGTGTACGAAATACCACTTGTATTACGAGTACAAGTACTTGTATTCCGAGTACGAGTACGAGTACTTCTATTTCCGAATACGGACATACGGCAAATGGTTCATTTCGCGTAATTGGCCCAGGCCCAGTCAGACCGATAAACAGACCCACTCACGGCTAGCAGTTAAATGTGTTTGTCCGGACGTGCACAGAGAAGACAAAGGAAACTTTGATTTCTCTGCAAGCCAATCAACGATTTCCAACTGAAAGTATCGCTAATAAAACAAGGCTGTGGTAAGTCAAGCTATACTTTTTTTTCTTTTTCGAGTACTACTCAAGTACGAGTACTTTGATGATCGAGTACAATTTCGACATGTCGAGTACGAGTACTTTGCTACCCGAGTACGAGGACGGTCATTTCGAGTACGAGTACTTTGACATTGGAGTACGACTACGAGTACGAGTAATCTAAAACAAGTACTCGAGTACGAGTGCCAAGTACAAGTACTACAACACTGATACATTGTCGAGGTTACAAGGCATGCAAAAAAGTGTAAACTTCGTGAGAGGAAGCTAGTCCCGCCCCTCTCAATTAACAATGATTCACGCAACAACAACCTCGTCCCCAGCGCTAAGAATACTTTATTTCCAACCTCGTTTCCAATAGTAAGCCCTGGATCGGATACTTTCTTCCTATATCCTGATTCGATACCGCAATTGGCTAGTAATTGATTTGTATTGTGTACTTGGTGTTTTTAATCCAACGTGCATTACGTGTTTTCACGCTCATTGTAATTATAACGTCCACGCCTTCTCAAAAATACTCATTTCCTTTCCAATTTGCTCACATTTATATGAAATGTGATATTGTGTATTGGCAGGATAAGATTTTAACATTTTAACTTCGAAAACAAGCTTGTTTTCGTAACTCACGGTGTGACGAATTGATTGCACATGCAAATGATCCAATACCAGGGTGAAAGAACAGGTAGTGGTGGGCGAGTACTGCTCGACACCCTGGGGACGAGGTTAATGCAACACTGAATCAGAAACAAGAGGCGTTTTGTTATTACATACTCTTTCGGATCTGACGAACCATTGAATTTTGTATTAAATTTGTAAAATAAATATAATGTCCGAAAGAAAAAAAAAGGGATTTACCCAGTATTTTCATGCCGCAGTCCTTCGTTTGAGCAACCGTACATTCAACTGTTTTTCCAGGATGTCTAAAACATAAAAGAATGAGATTTGGTTTGCAAACCGTGTATATTATGCGTACGATAAAAAGGTGAAGAAGATATAATAGCGACAGGAATTTAAAGCAACTACTTTGATCCATGGGGTCCATAGAAATACTGCAGAGGAACAAAATGTGCAAACGTAAAATGACTAAAAGCTAAAAGACCAATAATCCTGATAAACCTCTTTCAAGCGTTAGACGCATTAATTTTGTCCAATGTGAAGGCCAAAATGAAATGGACCTAAAGCATGATTACAGTATAAGTAGCTAGGATCGTATTGCAACCCAAACACAGCTATCGTACCTGACAAGTCTACAGTTGCAGTGTTTAAAGACCAGCCTGGCCCGGCATTCTGACATACACCCCTCCATGGTGTATGCCTGTTGATTTTCTAGCGTCTTGGACGAGTCGCATTCACCCCATGGCGGCTCCAGATTGACGTACTGTTTATATAAAGGTACGAGTTGATGAACCAGATAACATGTTTAATGCAACGAGGCAGCAAAAATGTCCACTACTAAATCAACGCATCAAAACTACAATTTTTTTCCAAGTGACGACAGTGGGTTCGTCTCATAGGAAATAAGGCTTCAATGTTTAACAAAACAAATTCCTAAATTCTGAGGCAAAATGAGATGATACATTTTGGAACTTTAGCATTCCATTTATTATTTTGGCCCCTTTTTACTATAGTTTCATACCATTAGTCAGCGACTAAACGGAGGTGGGGGTGGGGGGGGGAGGAGGTTGCGACATTCCCCCACGGTTGGTACTCACTTTCAATGCCCGAGTTGCGATGTAGGCATGGACACCCGGCTGTATGGCCATACCAGCCGAGTCGACAGCAGGCGGGGTGCCCTGGTCATGGATCACCACCTTCAGACCGGCCTCACAGTTACCGTCAAGTGTTTCCGTATACTCAGACTGCAATTCAGCCGAAATCAAAACAAAAACATGAGGGTTGTAATTCCGATGGTAACAAGAAATTTTTTCAGTATCGATCGCATGAAAATTTGAGTGGCAAATTTGAAATGATTCAAGCCTTGTTGTGATTGGTAGACGAGATAAAAAAAGAAGTGCTCTTGATATTTATTTTTAAATTGCATTAGAAGCATAAGAAATTAAGCATGAAGCAAAGCTGGCAATATTACTTGAATGAAGCTGAAGGCTGAAGAGGTTACCGGAGGAAGATGAACTGTTGTATCTTACAAAACTTTAAACATCGTTTGAAATGTACTACTGAGAATGGTTGTGTCAGACCAAGCATGCCTTATTGCTTGTTGTTGGCCTGTCTTGACCATGATGCTTATAGCTGGATCTGGTTCTATTCGCTCTTTTCACACTTCTGCCATGGGCATGCAGAGCCTCGATATGGCAACTTTACACAATAAATATAGCCGGTTCAGTGATTCCCGTGTCGGCGTTCAGATCACTGGACCGGCTATTTTTATTGTGTAAATTTGCCAGATCGAGGCTCTACAAGCCCAATGGCGGAGCGTGAAAAGAGCGAATAGTTGAAAAAAAGAGACAAATTTACTCTCAATTTTCTCAATTCTCGAGTGTAAGAAAGTTCTTTTCGGATCTCTATTGAACTCTTCTTTTTATTTCGCAAAACTGTATGAATGATGAACGAGTAAGGGGAATCAATAAGCAAAAAAACCTGAGACTTGATGACGCATAATGGCTTCGTGTATATATATATGCACTGTCCTATAAGGGAGCGAAGTTAGGACGCCAGACAAAGAAGGGACCGTCTACCACATAGGAAAGCGCACATGTGAATAAAGCGTGACGTCATTAGATCCCAGGCCTATTCTTAACTTGTCACACTCATAGACAACTGAACACTTGCGCGAAAATCCGTACCTGTTGTATATCTATGAGCACCCTCAAACCATTACCGCTCCCTGGCAATGACTCCGTGACGATGTCTGCTCCATTCTTACCCGAATTGAAAGTCCAACAATTTCCGAAGGAAGTGAACGAGTGTGTAAAATCCTGCAGGAATAAAGTTCAGAAAAACAAACAACAAGTCAGGTTTGAACGATAGCAATTCCAAGACCACTTTAAGGGATATATATATATAAGAATACTTCAATGAGCACAATTGTATTGTACACAATAAGCAGGAGTGTTAAGCCTATATTAAGGAAAAGGCTCATTTTGCTTTATTTTCTTAGCATTATTCAGTCACTTTCGCTTAGCAGAAATGGGGAAAATAGTGTGGGAAACTGAGTCGAAGTTATTTGCTGCACAGTTAAAGAGTAAATTCAAAATTTCAGTTTTTCATCATTAAATTATTACAAATGCACTTTAAGACGGAGGAACCCCCCCCCCCCCCCCCCCCAAAGGGACTGAATTTCCTCGAGGGTGGATATTTCAATTTACAGCTGCGGAACAGCTGCCCTTCCTCCCGCGCCAGTCGCAATCCAGAAGGGTGTCCTCGTCCAGAATGAAGCCAGTTCTCTTGGTGAAGTCGGTGAAGCTGAATTCACTGCAGTCCACGTTACCCACGTCACTCTGTTGCTGGTAGTAGTCGAGGAAGTCCCATGGATTCACGTCCTCGGAGTAGGAACTAAAAAATCCTTGGTGGTCGTAGTCGTTCATCGAGATGAGGGACTTCAGGCAGGCACTCTCGTTGGGTGTGATGGCCGACTGACGGTACCTAATAAATAAACGAGGCAAAACCAATGTGGCAAAAAACGATGACAAATGCCTTCCTCGGTGCTATACAGGGCGAGTGAAAAAGAAATCAATCCGAATTTTTTTTTCTTAAAAATATATCCAATTTGAAATACCAATGAAGTATATGTCTTAAACGAGCATGTTTTCCCACTCGTTAAAGAAGAGATTACTGAAATTGATCCATGCTTTCAGAAGTGACGCACGTTTTACTAAAAAAATTCAATTTTTCTAGCTGTCCACTGGCAGCTATAACGGTGGAGAAAAACAAAGTTGTATCTATGCTGAAATTGCGTGTCCTTGTTCACAAGGATATATCCAGAGGATTCACGATGTAGGTCAAACGAAATATCAAACTTCTCCCGACGTTTCAACAAAATTTTGGAGACGTTTTCAATCCCGTGTTTGTCCGTTGGAGGCTGAGACAAAAATGACTGCATGCTTGGGTTGCCGCCAAAATTGCGCAGCACACCACATGCAGATCACATAACAACAATCGAATGCAAATGAGATTTTAATCATTTAAATAAAGACTGAAAGATTATTTTTACTGTCAGATGTTGTGTTTCGAATATGAGGAACAAGTCATATTTAATGACGATTTTTGTTCGTTTTCCTTGGAAAGTTCTCCCCAATTCATCGAGGTGGGAACACGTCCATGTTTCATTGTGCTTAATGGGTATTCATCAGTTACTAATATCACTATTATCCGATGCATAATATTCAGGTCCGCTCCTTTTCTTTTTCCGAAGTATAGGCGTATGTCCTGACCAGAATTTTTCTTTGTGTCACATTTAACCTCTCCGTCTAAGACCGAAACAATCTGGCTATACTTGAGACGGACGAAATCCAAACCAGTGCTTACCTGTTGAAATTGCATATGGTAACGGCGGGGAATTCAAGATGACTGACATACTTCGTCGATATCTGAGTGTTTGCCTCGTACTTGAAGTAGGCCTGGAATCGGAGAGTGACCTGCCAGATGCACACGCCGAGGCACGTCAACAGTATGGCGAGCCAGGCCAACTTGAAGTAAGCCCGAGAGCTCTCCACCAACCGACCGATACCGTGGAGGGTGGTGGAGGCGGCAAACTCCCGGTCCGGGTCGGTATCGGTTCCACCCATAAGTATTGACTCCCGGAGTTTTTAGAAAGATACGAGGGAACTTCATGAAACAGGCAGACGTCAAGGATGGTGCTCAACCGTACCTCTGTTTGCACCAACACTCCGGTTTGTCAGGATCAAGGCGGCAGCGAATTGGGTATTAACTTATTCGTAATAGATTTGTCAACCTCTTTTGACAAAGGACGCTGTACAGCAGTGTGCAGGAGCTCTATCCACAATGTTAGGTTTCGGGACAGGCTGTTGAATTTGTTGACAGAGAATTATCTGTGTTTGAAACATCTGGTTCATTCGGGAGTGTTGAATCAACAAAAGTAGCTGCGAGCGTTAATAGATAACGACAACAGAAATAATGAAACTTCAAAACGAAACATTTCGCTTAAGATAATTTGTATTATTCGTACAAAACATGTAAAGAAAAACTAACCTGTTACACCAATGCTTCCAAAGGCATTAACATATAGGTATATTTAAAGCCTGTTCTCCAAGAAAAAACAAATCATGTCTATAAAAAATGGCAGAGGCAGAGCAGATTCCCGGAATGCACCTGATTAACGATCCGTAACGACCCGGCCCATTTATTTGGCTATAACGAACATCCTTCTTGGCTCCCGAAATATTAAATTCTATCATAATGCACTATCACTATAACGAACGACCACTATAATGAACGTATTTTTACAGACCCGTCTTGTTTCTTATAGTGGCGTTCTACTCTATTGGCGTAAGAACATCTAGGATAAATTCACTGATTTGTGAACAGAAAGTGACAACTCCCAAGAATTTACGAGATCCAACAACAGTTTGGACAATACGTGGTTTGTTTTGTGTGGAATGATCCTCCCTTGCAGCGGTGCTCCCCTCTTCTTTCTTCAGCCCCACATCAAAAATGGAAAAACAGTTCCAAAGAGGAAATGTATTTGCCTTTAAACGAGAAGACATGTACCGCAGTTGGAACTTGGAAGCATATGAAGAATGTTTGATGATGAAAGACACACCCTTAATTTTTGACGCAGGGATATCTTTGCACCCATTTCAAAGCAGCGAATTAAAGTGGTGCAAGCCAGGTAAATACAAACTAGTTCATACCCTGAAATACCCGTGTGCTATCCGAGAGTGTCGACGAAATGCATTCGGTAAACTTCGGACATTGTGGAAACGGACAGGATCCGTCCCGTTTTTTGGCTGCGTCTTTTTTTAGCCATGGCGGCTGCCTGATCTAAGATTCGTCAGAAACAGTCAGAGTCTTTTGGTCTTGGAACCAGACTACTAACATGTCTGTCACGATATGGCGAAATGTATTCTTTTGGAGACAAAAAAAATTATAGACTTCTCGGTTCAATATCTTTGACAATATGAGGACGTAGGGCACGGAGCCATAAGACACGACAACAAAATTGTTTGCAACTTTGCAAGGTTTCTGAAAATTTTGTTTAGTAAGATTTGGGACATGGAAAGACGGATGGCGCACGGTGGTAAAACGTTAGCAATGAATATGACTTTAAATAATTCAAGACGTACAGCTTTACATATTAGTTAATAACATGTAGGGCCTAGTCCATATAAATACAACCTTATATCCCGTCCTGCATCGAAGAATGCCGTTCGTAATCCACAAAGTAAACGCAGAAAGTGGTTGCAGTTTCACGAGTGGTGGCCATGAGACATGCATTAAGAATCAAGGTTGTGTATGCAGAAGTCTTAAGGAGCAGAGCTTGTTGTCACCGATTTCAACGGTTGAATAACTGCTCAACTGAGCTTACTTAAACCCTTTAGCAATGCAAGGTCACGGGTGAATTATTGAATCCCGTTTTCCATTAGCTATCGCGAAATTGCGCATGGACAATTATCATCAGTGCGGATAATGAAAAGATAGATGATAATAAAATAAATTTGACACTAAGGCACGGCTAACAGGCTTTTAGCTCGCCCTCATGCAGTGACGTAGCAGCATGTTTACCGCAGTCTGCACATAAAATGATTAAGATGCAGACTGAATGTCTCAAAAAGAGAAGCGGTGAGCTCCGCGTTGCATTATTTTACATGTTCATGTCATTTAATCCCTCCTTTTAAACGATGTGATTGACCTGATGATGTTACTACGAGAAGACAAAAATAATGTATTCTATAGAGGATCAAAACCCTTCACGTTGTTGCTAGTTGCTGTTACAAGTGAAAACTCGGCTGCCGCATGCAAGCAAGGGGAATAATCTCGACGAGTATTTGGGCTGTGGTCTTCAGGTTATCTCGAGATTTCAATTCGTCGATTTTAAGAGGTAGGCAAACCGGTTAAATTTCATTTTGTGTGTGTGTGAGTCTCTCCAGAGAAACCAAGTTCAAATCTTTCTGAGCTCGATGGCACGCTTATGTCACTCTGTTGTCCTTTTGTTTATATTCAGATGGCGTAGCGCCACTGAATGAATGCCTCTCGCCAAATTCAAGTTTAATTTATTTCATACACTTCGGCGAAAGGCCAATAATAAATAAGGTTGCAAAATTGCTCGCCCGAACTTTAGGAAAATGAGATAATTATGGTTTATGATTTAATGTGGTAAAGGTACGCTTCTGAGACGCACAACGATACCATTCAAAGTGCAATTATAGAATGCACTTCAAATGACTGCAGTTAAGCTAAAAGAAGAGTATTATAAGCAATGTGATCAAACTGCAAGGCCATCAGATCAATTGGCAATTATGGCTCGTCCTTCGATGTTGCAATATCCCTGTTATTGTGCTGCATTGTTTATGAGGTCCTTATAGAATCATGTCTACCCTACATTTGGTTTCCTGGTACGTGCACAAGCATAAAAGTTGGGCTGTTGAAGGCCTGCCTCCTCATAAACTACATCAATGATTCAATACTGCAACAGTTATAGGCCGACATTAATTTTCTGTGGAATGTCACGGCCATTATGCACTAGGCAGGCCTACACACAAATAATGATGGGTATGGTTTCCCATGCGCTATTTGTTTCAGTTTGAAACAAAATTGGAATTGCAGCTGACTTCTACGGTATTTACAGCATCCCGACATGACGACACCGGACCCCGAGGATCCGTCTCCCCGTCCCAGCCTGGAGCGGGAGTTTGCCGAGTCCACCAGCCTTCACGGCATCGCCCGGGTGTTTCACGCCAGCAAGCTGCTGGTCAAGACCGTCTGGATTGTCATCATGCTGACCTGTCTCTGTGTCTGCGTCTGGCAGATCTCGGACCGGTTCTACAGATTCCTTCAGTACAAGGCCAACACCCAAATCTCAGTGGAGTATGTCGGGGATCTTCCCTTCCCTGCGATCACCATCTGCAACTTTAACAGGTAGGTTTTTAGGTTTTCCGATCCTGCCGTGCCAATCCTTTCCGCGTCTGCGTGCACGCATTTGACGTGATGCTGAAACGATTACAGAACTCAACCTATCAAACCCCAAACGGCATGTTTTGTTGGAATCTGTGAGAATGGGTACAATACACCTAAACTGACAGTGTTTTACAGTGGGTTGGCACACCTCCAGAATCAAAGTAAAAAATGTATGTGTGCAGTTTCCCATATGTTGTTAAAATTTGCCAGGATCGGTATGGTTCCTAGTAATCATACTAGGGAGTAGGGTTGTTCTCGATGTACATACGCCTGTAGTTTCCTTGCGTATAAGTCACTTCACCCTAAAAGGGCTGGGTTATTTTTACCATCTCTCAGCCGGGGGGGGGGGGATTCCGCCCCCATAAAGATGTCGGCCATCGAGTGACGAACAATTTTGAAACTCAGCACATGCATAGAGCAACTCATCACGAACATACCCACGAAATTTTATGACTATAGGTCAAAGGGATTTGGAATTATGGTTAATTAATTATTCATATGTACGAATGGTAATTCTGGTCTGTGTACACGACGTGTATGGGAAAATTCACTTTTCACGGCGCGTAGCGCCGGAAAATGTTTCGTTGCACTTTTTATTACTAAATTTCAATTTTTGGTGTATTGATTTCTTTAGATAATCACCTTCGAAAAAAATTGATACTAGCATCTCAATTTATAGGAACTAAAAATAGCATGACGTGAAAGAGAATATCGTGCCAAATATGTTCTCTCGATTTCGAAAATCTAAAATACATGTGAACTCGTATACAAAGCTTTATAAAAAAAAATCATAAAACTTTTGTGGCGTTCATTTCGTGAAAACTGAAACTTAATTAGGAGACTAAAATCGTTTTTAGAAAATACAATTTTTTTTAACAAACTTGACGGACTCATTAACATTTACAAACAAAATTCACGATTTAATCTAGAACCCATCGGCTGTAGGTAGGCAAATCTTAGCGTCGTTATCGTTTTCGTTCTCACGCAAGTACGCCCTCGTAATCGCTCACTGCGTAAGCAGCTGGTCATGCACGCGATGTAGGGGACGACGGGTCGTGATTCCTCGGAGTCTGATTCGCACGCTGGAGACAATCAACATAGTGAAGAATGCCTCGCAACCAACACTTTTGAATTCTGGTTTGGAATTTTTTAGTCATTCCCTCCCGAGAAGCTTTTTTGGTAGAATCATGATTGTGTCAATTATTAAGCGGTACTTCTTTACAGGTATCGTCAGGACGCGTTAGCCCCTGGCGACGAAGCAGTTCTCCGCCACATCTGGTCAATAAACGACCACGACTACGACTCGTACGGAGAGAGCGACGTGAACAACGACATGTTCCAGGACGACCTGTCGTCAGACTTCAACTACACGGAGTTCACGCTGAGGGCGGGATTCCTCTTGGACAACAAGACACTGCTCCGTTGCCAGTGGCGAGGAAAGGATAATAGCTGCTCCGCTGCGGTAACTGTTATGTAGAATGTTGCCACTCATTGGCATAAATGCGGTTACCACATGCACAACTGGAAGCAGGTACTAGGTGTAACCATGGGTGTACCAAGATTGCGCGCAGATCGCACGCGCGCACGCAATGTTCCTTCAAATGTTATCTATAACACTTTCCAGTTTAAGTACATATTATCAAGTTACAACCATATCGGACCCACAGTTCCTAAAATACATACCTAAGAAAAATGCACCTTTAAATGTGACGTCACATGACATATGATGACGTCATGACGAGGTGACTTACACCTATAACACATCCCGATATACATATCAAGTTACAACCTAATCGGACCCATGATTCGGTAGTACAGACATTTGAATACATTCATTTAATGTGACGTCGCATGACTTGTGATGACGTCACTTCAATATTTACCTATAACGCGTCCCTTATGAAAGTGCCAAAGTGTATAGAAAAACGTGTACAAACCTTATGGAAAAAAATGCCTGTAATACCTTTATTAAGACGTACGTTGACGCCTGATGACGTCATCATAATGAAAATCTTGGGCATATATCTTCAGGTGGTGGTCAAAAACAGCTTTAAAAATGCTTGCGAATTGCGCGTGCGCGTTGTACCACCTCAGTTTTGACTTCTATAGTTATGCTGGAAATGAGTGACGTCACATTATATCACACTTTGTTTTGATCGTAGAATTTTTCGCACGTGTTCACTTCCTATGGAAACTGCTGGACTTTCAACTCAGGCAGAACGGGCCCAATTCTGACGGAAACCAACCCAGGAAGCGGGAACGGACTGAAGATGTATATTGATATACAACAGGTATGCCGTTACTCATTGCATGAGTCCCTTTTTATTCCATAATTATATTCTCAATCCAGCGAATGTAAGATTGTCCTGATGAATGTCTAAAAACCATAATGTGAATTGATATCTTTGCTATACCCAGTCTCAATACACTGAAACCAAGAACGACGAAGCTGGCTTGAAGGTCTTAGTTCACGACCAAAGTACCCCACCCATGGTGGAATCCTCAGGACTAGCCTTGTCACCAGGTGTACACGCCTTCATGGCTGTTAAAAGACATCAGGTAAATGTTTATAGGACTCACAGTGTACAGCAACACTAGGATTAGTAATGTTTGCAATTATATCGTAATCGATATCATATCGGGCCCAGTAGGCTAATCTGTCAGCTGTGTCAAATTTTGTTTGTAGATCTCATCTTGTTTATCCCTTCTGGTACGTACACATTCTTCAAACAAAAGCTTTCATATTGTTTGAACGATGTTCAAACAATATGAAAGCTTTTGTTACTGTCTTGAGGGCAAAACTTTTGATGGCAAATGATTTTCACAATTTCTTAGCTGTTGCAGCAATATCGCAAGACGATGATGGTTGAAGAAAATATAATGAAAACATTTCAAATTCCGAAGTATTTAAAGACACAGCAGATAACATTGTCTGTATACATAGAAGAATATCACTACAGTTTAGAGAGTATAATATCATCCTGGAAATGAACATCCACTTTTCTTGCAGTACTTAAATCTGGAGCCCCCCTATGGGAAATGCGACTCCTCAAGGAAGCTAAAGAGATTTGATAGCTACACTTTCGATGGATGCAACATTGAGTGCAGAGCAGATGTGGTTCTGGAAAAATGTCATTGCAGGCTGGTCCAGTAAGGATTTGAATAAAAAAAATGTTTGGTATTATTGTCGATAGGTGCAATTACGATCCTGTAAAAAAAATGAAGAGAAACTAGCAATTAATATTAATATGATTATAAAGTAATATTACAAATGTTGAAGACAGAGTGACTTTACTACATTATGGTGCCGATGGCTCAGTTGAAGTATCTTTCAACTTCACAGGCACCCAGGAAACGAAGTTGAATGTACTCCCAAAGAAGCAAACGGCTGTGCAAAGAAGACTATTGGTGAGTGAGATAACTAAAAAAGATTTATTACCAAAAAAATATGAATATTGTTACTGAAATGATACAAATTTGCGGTCGCGTGCATGCGGCCATCTTGCAGTGCGTCCTCTTTTGACAAGCTTGGGATAACACGTAATAATAATAACGGAGTCTTATATAGCGCACGTATCTACCAACAATTAGGTACTCACGGCGCTGGTAATTAAGTGAATTATTAAAGAAAGGTAAATAAATTTTATGAGAAATATGAGGCCCATTATGTTGCACCTTATAATGGTTTACAAGGTGCTGCGGCGCATATTGCAACCACTGCCAGAAACACCGGGGCAAACTCCTTCTCTTAGCGATGGGTGTTACTGGGTTCTTTAACGTGCATTACATAACACACGGGACCTACGGCTTTACGTCCAATCTGAAGGACGAAGCAAAGTGCCTTGCTCAAGCGCACAAGCACCATGTTCCCACGGTCAGGGTTTGAACCTATGTACCACGGACCACAGCGCCCCGCATAGAAGACCTTTCTTCCACTTGTATGAACTAATGCAATTGCTTTTCTCTCCTATTTCCAGCTGATCTGATGAGTGGAGATATTGATCCATATCCGTGCAACTGCCCCGTTCCCTGTAACTTCACATCCTTCACCACCACTCTCTCCACTGCATTCATACCTAACGCGAAGATTATCCCGCTACTGGCGTCGCTAACTTCATACGCCGATGACCCCGCATCCTGGGGTGAGGAGGACGGCAATCTGAACGTGTCCGAGACAGTCTTCAAAGTTGGAGAGTACATAAGGTACATAAGGATGCAGGACATCATACAATCTCTATTACATGAAAGAACTGACAGTGCTTTCAAAGTATTTCTACCTATGTACAAAATAAAAGCTTCGAGTTATTAAAGGAACATCTTATCGGCAAATACATCGTAATTTGTAGTGACTTTTTATGCAGGAAAAACTGGATCTCACTAGATATATTCTATGAGGACCTCAACTACGAGAAGTTCGAACAGACGGAAGCCATAACCACATCGGCACTGATAAGTAAGATTTTAGTTTTCTATACAAACTTAGAAACACAAACGAAAACCCGCACTTAGGAGGCCATGGGCCTCACGGAGCGTGCGCATGCGCCGTACGATAAGCTGTGCCACGTGCGCGCTGTGGTTTCATGAGTTTCATAAATTATGCGGAAATTTATAACTGATTTAGATATAAAAAGTATACTTGATATGTTAACTAATGGTGTCCACTAAGCTAAATTGGTTTAACATGTTATAGTCCACGGGACAAGGCCATCCATCTACAGAATTATGTAATATATATTCGTGGTTGTAGTGTACATTGGGCCATAAGAAAACGGTGCTATTTAATGCTGGACTCAAAGTGAACATTTCGGGTTTTATTTCCTATATTTCAGGCGACATAGGCGGCCAACTGGGTCTTTTCATGGGAGCAAGCTTCATAACTCTGGCAGAGATTTTCTCGTACCTCGGCAGGAAGATGAACATATGGATTCACAGGCAGCATAGAAGGCCGCAGGATGAATGTAAACTAAGCACCTCTGTGACAACTTCGACTTAAGCACTCCACATTATTCAAACGTAAATCGGTGGTGTCTTAGCCAACGTAAACCCCACAAGTTGTCAATTAAGATATCCTACATTTCTTTGCCGAAGTCTGGTTCGTACACCGCAGTATACTTCTACTCATCGTAAACTTTCTCAGCGGTGCAGGCTTTTCCAATGACTGGGAATATTAGACCTCAATTGAGGTGATAGAGACAATAAACTGGCTGCAGTAAGCCGTACACTGCTGGACAAGGCACTAAAGCCTATAGTTTCGATTGTCTTAATAATTCGTTTCTACAATTGAGGCTGAATCATTAAGCATACTCCTGTTTATAATTAAAGCGTTTTTACTCCCTTATACGGTCAGCGCTTGGCTGACTTTTCAGGTTATTTCGTTTTCTAGGTCACGTTAGTAGACGCAAATTTATTGAGCAATGCATTGATATTATAACATCTTTATTGTTTGTATTATACGGTAATGTTATTGTCTTATAGGCGTTTAAACGATAAAACTATTTTCACAGTCACAATATAATACTCCAGTATATACAGCAATTCAACGTCGTTCACTCTTGTTTCTATCAATGGTTTTCTCTTTCCTTATTGCACAAAGTTCTTCTAAGAAGACATGTTTGTGTGAAAATAAAAGTAAATGTATATTGATATACACCTATATGTTGTTTAACTGTTCCTTTTTGACGACAAAATTACTTATCATGCACTGATGATGAGAATATGGCTCGTGGATAGGGTTCAACCAACGTAAATGGTATACACAATGTTGTTTGTCCTGATCAATGTCTCTCTGACATACAAGTACATGAATTTGACACAGAAAAAGAATAGCAGATAATCCTATCCATCGTTATAATAATGTTCATTTGTCGTGATCGGGTACAACAAACCCTAGTCCAAACAAAATTGCTTTGAATAAAAGTGTGCGTCATTATTGCACCTGCTCATTGGGCCCGTGAAACATTCCAAATACCATCTCAACTCCCTGGGGAGTATACAGCTCGATGCAGCCTGTTTAGGCGCAAGGAAGCTAATTCAATCACAACACCCATCTCTGCCCTCACAGGTACCCATTTGCTCCTGGGTGGAGAGAAGCAATTATGAGTGACAAAGTGCCTTGCCCAAGGGCACACTCACCGTGACCCCAGGCTGAACTTGAACTCACAACCTGCAGCTTTACCCGCAGACCCCGAATCCAATGCCCTTAACCACAAGGCCACACCACTCCGACTTAAATGTCGTACGCTTTTGAGTCAAATGCAACGATTGGTCCCCACTGCATCACGGACCCTTGGAATGGGTATTGGTACTCAGTATATAAGATATCCGAGACTATTCAATTTCACATGATAACTGAGTTCATCAATATTAATAGTTAACTCATGGGCCAGCCGTGTTTGCTCAAAAGGCCACGGCAGGGTATGTTTGAGTTTCTTGAGTGTGGGGACAATAGGCTTTTCAAACTTTGGACCCCTTTTTTGTTGCTTTTCTTCCCCGCTACACCAATTGACGTAGGTGTAAAAAGTCTCTAATGTTGATGATCACGAACTGCCGACATAGAACGATGTACTATGGTTTTAAGAACTCCGACTGGGCACTTTGTTGAATTTGGTGTTGGGGAATATTGTTAAGATGCGACAGTCATTATAGTATCCTATGATAAACCAACAGACAATTTCAGGCCTTCTTGTTTGACATAGGTATTGAGGTGGTTCAATATCCGTATATTGAGGAGCTACATCGTTCAATAATGGTGTCATGCTATTCCTAGTTTTTGTGTTTTAATGCCTCGCGTCAAGTAGCTGCCAACATGATCGGACGGTGCACATTTCGATGGGCAACACGTTAGACAGACAGGTATGATTATACTCTCCTTATTGTTTCAAAGTCAAGAAAAAATACCGGTAGTAATTCATGTATAAACCGTGAACAACAGATATTTGCTGTTCACACTGTTTTTGTCCAGTTGTGAGTCAGAGCCCCTGTGCACAATTTTAAATTCATATAGTTTAAATAATAAGTAATTATAGGATTATTCAAGTTAAATTGTATCAGATGATGAACAAGGTGTAAAATCATTTGACAGGTCCATTGTCGAAAGTTATTTACGCAGTTTGGTATCAACAATATCATTGGTAAACAGTAGGATGATATATAGGCTATAAAATGTGGTGGACTGATACAAGGTTATACGATAACCACAAAAACAATTAGGAGGTTAAATTAGTTGTTTTAATAGAGTTGTTGTCGGAAGACCAACAGGTTATGCTTTGGACAAAACAGCCGTTCGCTGAACCATCGTCCGACACCATGACACACGAGACAAGACCGGCTCAAGATAAGCACAGCCTGGAGCGGGAGTTTGCCGAGTCCACCAGCCTTCACGGCATCGCCCGGGTGTTTCACGCCAGCAAGCTGCTGGTCAAGACCGTCTGGATTATCATCATGCTGACCTGTCTCTGTGTCTGCGTCTGGCAGATCTCGGACCGGTTTTACATGTTCCTTCAGTACAAGGCCAACACCGAAATCTCGGTGGAGTACACCAGGAACATGGACTTCCCGGCGGTGACCATTTGCAATTTCAACAGGTATTGTAACCTTGTACCAAAGGTTGCAACCGATTTTCCTTCACCCGTGTTATTCCTTATTCCACTCCACGGCTGTTTTGTGTACATCTTACAATTGTGTTACAATGGGTTCAGAAAAGATGGTTTGGTATAGCCTTTATAGCAATTTTTTTGGCCGTCGGGGCTCAGATTCCAAGATGGCGTCCGTGTACATTTGGGGTGCACCCCTGTATTAAAATTCCCATAGACACCAGTGCTAAATGCTCATACTTCAAAATTCTTTTTAAAATACTCAGAACTCTCACATGTATTCAGGCTGCCCAGAAAAATGATGATCAACATGTCATCTTTCATTTTTATTTCAATTTATAGTGGTTTGACCTTTAACTTTTCGAGAAATTCTCACCAAAAGAAGACGACCCCTATTTTTCCCAAAGCGGAAAAGTAGCCATATTGAAAAAAGATTCCTCCACAACATGGCTAAAATATATAGCGTCACTTTCGGGCCCAATTGCATCCAAAATGCTCAGAATCGGAAATCACAAGTCCGGGCCAGAGGTTCATTGCCATATTTCTTCAATTCCCCAATTCCATGGCTCTCAGAACTCTCTTATATAGAATATTTTGAGCTCGGCGGATGGATTTTGGGCCTATTTACAGGGGTGTACCCTTAGAGCGGTTGCTGGAGGAATGTAACCATATCAGAAGTGCGACCCCTTGGGACGGCTTATGGAAAGAATAATTTTTTTCTACAGATTAGACGCATTTCTTACGTATACATGGATATAACATGTACAAATATTTCCTTTATTTCTCTATGGATAAAAAATAACAAATTTGCATCGCCTTTTTTGCAGGTATCGACAAAGTGCGTTGACAGAGAGTGACAAAACATTTCTGCCTTACATCATTTGGGCAAACGACTACGACTACGACTCGTTCGGCGACAGCCAGGCCGGCATGGACTACTGGGACGTGACTTCTGAGGACGGGGTCAACGGCACGAGTTTCAACTACACGGACTTCACGCTGAGGGCGGGCTTTCTCATGGATGACGTCACCCTACGTCAATGCGAATGGCGACGGAAGACAAAAAGCTGTTCGCCCGCGGTAAGTTTGAAGTGAACATGGTATTATTCTCTTTTTCTTTATTTCTCTGTTGTTTTTAACAACTACAATTTCACAAATCAAACTAAACTTACCTTTAAGAAGACTTGTGCTCACTGCAATCCCCGAAATGTTTCATCCGCTCTGTTGAAAAAAGAAAAGTTATAGATTTCATCTTTACATTGAAGTAACATGACCTTAGCTAGATCTGGTGCATAATATGTACCAGATCTCTATGGGAGATTTAGTTCTTGAGATGTATTTTCTAAAAGTCAGTGATTTATTATTTTTATCTTAATTCTAGAATTTCTCTCACGTCTTTACTTCCTTTGGCAACTGCTGGACTTTTAACTCGGGGAAAACCGGACCGATCCTGAGAGAGACTCAGGCTGGAAGCGGCAACGGGGTTCGGATGCTTATCGATATACAACAGGTACGAAAGGATCATTTGCCTGTTAGGTTGATCATCTTGCATTTTTCATTTTCAAAAATGTATGTGTCTAGATCGTCTGTCTGTTCGTTTGTTCCTCACATGAACTTTTGTTTGTCTACCCTAGAGCGAATACACGGAAACGGTGGACGGTAACATCCCTGCAGGGCTGAAGGTTTTAATTCACGATCAAGGGACGCCTCCCTTGGTAGAATCAGCAGGGCTTGCTATCTCACCCGGCGTGTATGCATTTATAGGTGTACGAAAACAACAGGTAGACAGTTCTTCGATAAACGACTGACAATTTCTGAGCCCCAAAATGAACTCATGATAAATGCCTGTCTCTAGCGTTTAGTACTTACCTCTATTTGATGCTTTTTTATGTACATAAAACATAACGTTGGCTCGGAGAGCACAACATTTTTTTTAAAAAGATATCTTACAAATAGTCTCTTCTAGGCCGCTATATACCTATACACTGTAGTACAATCACCGTTTAGCGATAATTGAAAGTATATCATGTTTTTTGTCAAACAAGAACTTCTAAATTCAAAGTTACAATACTGAACGTAACCGCAACCAATAGTGCAACTTCTTCTTTTAATTAATAAGTCGGTTTTCTGGTTTTAAATTCAGTATCTAAATCTGGAACGTCCGTACGGGAAATGCAATGCCTCCAAGACGCTGACAAGATTTACTCATTACACGGCAGAAGGATGTAACATCGAATGTAGAGCTAAGGCCATACTGGAGAAGTGCAACTGCAGGCTTGTACGGTAAGAGCCAAATATTAGATGAGCGTTTTCAAACGCTTGGTGGCAGCAGATAGCCCGGTCTTTTCATTGTCTTTAACAGCCAGGGCCGTTTCAAAATCACACTTATACCGCATGTCAAACTCGAATTCATGTGTTTTGATTTCAGACACCCAGGGAACGAGAATGAATGTTCTCCCCAACAGACCAGCGGCTGCGCAATGAACACCCTGGGTAAGAACATTGGTATAAGTGGGAGAAATGACAAGTGAATATGTCCTCGTGAAGACGATACTTTTTGCTTGTAAATCAGTGTTTCATTTGAATATTGAATGTGTAAGTCGACATTGTTTTCTTGATTTCAAGATGCAAGAATGAAGCAACACTCATATAGACTTCACCTAGTCGTAATACCGGTAACGCCACATCTACAACATGTTTAGTGCTTCGTTATCAAACTAATCAAGTTCATCATATTGTTCTTAACTGTCTTGTTTCAATTCAGTACAATGCATTTATTTGGTGGATGCGTTTGGTTGCCTTTTCTTGGAGTGTCAAGCATTCGGTTTTAATGCTTGCTTTCCTGTTAATCATGATCTATTAACGGTTTGCCGGTTTTCAATTGTATTGTGAAGGCGTTTAGCCTAGCAATGCATGTATTCTACATGATGTCATGAGCACATGCATGTGTACATTATAATACAGTTTTATACATGATTTCTGTCAAATTTTCCATACAGCATTTCTACACATCATGAATACTACCCAATTTGTTGATAGGCCTGTTTTGATAAAATTGCGTAATACTATGTCGGTTGTATGGTATCATGTTCATTGTGTTGTTGTTGTTGTTGTTTAACCCGATTGCAAGTACCCTTGATGTTTTCGCAATTTAATTAAGAATTGTGAGATACTCTTTGCGCTATCCCCCCTCAAAAATGCCTATAATGTATTCCGTTACCGCAAACCGTCCCACAATGCAACGCGATATATTCATTCCTTGTGCTATTTTATGGGTTATTTTTGCTATCTTACCTGTCTTCAGGTACCCTGGTAGGCGGGACGGATAACCCATGCGACTGTCCCGTGCCGTGTAACTATGCAACATTCACCACCTCGCTTTCCACAGCCGCCATACCTAGCAACAGCGTGGCCGCTGACCTCCAGGCCAAGGCGCAGGCGCAGTATTCCTACTCTTCCGACTATTCCTATTCGTCTTTTACTGTTCCATCGCCGGACCAAACGGACCTATTCGAGGAGGGATATTTAGAGTAAGAATCTTCTTAAATTCAAAGTCATAGTGTGATTGCAGTTTACCAATTGAATACACGCAAGAGGTGTGGTTTTGAAAGGGTATAGTCTGGTTCCCAGACCCCATTGTCATTCGGACTTCAAAAATGGGGACAGGTAGCTAGCGGTAAATCTTCCATACATCAGGAGGCATCCCTCCTGATGTATGCAAATGATATGCATGACGTGTACAGGTCTGAATCCCAACTCCTGAATTGAAACCACAACGGTACTATTTGCCTGCAACCAGCCTTTATTGCAAAATGGCAATAGGTCACGACACGAATGTACAATTTCGTAAGTGATGAGCTTCGATTTTTGCTGAATTTTTAAAAGTGTCTCTGGCAAATATCAATTAAGAGAGAGGAAGTACTGTTCAGTATTTAAAACCTTAGCAGTTGAAATGCTTGAAAGTTACCTTCACGGGGACACTGATGATTTTGCGTACTTTTTTGTGGTAAGAAAAGAGTCCATGCATGCACAAAGGTAAACAGCGATTTGAAAATAAACAATCGTGCATGAAGCGCGCGCAGAGGTGATCCAATCAATGGCTTTAAATGGGAACTACCTATCGGTCCCCATATTTTTTTAGGGGGGCGGGACACAATTCATTGAAAGGGAGATTTTAATCATATCTTAGGAAGAAACCATCAGAAAACTGACGTGAATTTTGTGGTTAGTCATCGCATTGTTAGTATATTACTTCAAAAGTATTAACTGGTAGACCCGTCTGATGGTGGAATAGGCTATATCAAACAGGCTAGTGTATTATGAGTCAGAAAGGGTTTACATTTAAGCCGTTTAAGTACACTATTTCTATACCCATTAAATAACTTTTTGGGGTTATTGTTTAGGAAAAACGGGGTATTGTTGGATGTGTTCTACGAAGACATCAACTACGAAAGGTACGAGCAATCGGAGGCCATCACTGCATCGGCTTTGATCAGTAAGTGAATTGGATCGATTGTTTGACGAAGTTTGAGCTTATCTGGATAGAATAAAATGGCATGAATCCTATAGGAGAAATTTCACCGCTTAGGGCAAATATTGGAGAAAATGTATATGTGTAGAACAATTTGACTCGTGCCTACTGGTGTATGGGCCAATGGCAAACAGATCATGATGGGTTGAGAATGGTTTTCCACACGTTGTAAAAGTGCCCCCTTAGCCGGAGTCCATTTTGTAATTTGGATTTCTTTTAAGGGAACTTAAAAAGATACCAAGAAAACATGATGATAGCAGAGAAATTTCGAGATAAAAGCTCTTTTAAAGCTTCTGTCTTTACAATTTCCAGGTGACATAGGCGGCCAACTCGGTCTGTTTCTAGGAGCCAGTTTCATCACCTTGGCGGAGATGTTGTCTTATTTTGGTAAAAAGATCGACTTTTGGATTAAGCGCGGGCTCAACAAGCACCGGCGTTTGTTGGAACGGCAGCGAGGTCGGAACAGGACGGAAATGTCACTGCAAAGTGTGCGGATTGATAACGGCAACCAAATGACATTACTCTCCCAAGTTTAGACCGATGCCCCTATGCCCATATAGAAACTCTGCTGAAATGCACTTGACTGTTCCTATGGGGGGGGGGGCGTTTAGCACGCTGTTTACCAGTGACGTCCTGAATCCATCCATTGCACAACGGCAACTACATGTACATGTATATACAGTCGAATCTCGTTAGTACAAACTCTGTTATTACAAAATTCTGGTTATAACATACATAAAGCCTTAGTCCCGACTGTGCATTTATTTGCACAATGAATGGGACTGATGTTCCTCTTAATACAAAATTCTGATATAACAACAATTTGGCTAGGTCCGAACGAGTTTGTATTAACGAGACTCGACTGGAGGTACTTAATGACATTATATCAAATGAATCTTATAACTCATAGCCGTAGCCCATCACAGCCGAGGAGTACAATTGGTGCCGAGATATCTTCGTCAACTGACATAGGGGCTTAATCATGTTTGCCCTAAACTGATGGCTTTTGCCTATAGCAAACAAGAACATCACAATGCCATTCGAGTAAGTCGGCCACCCTTCTGTATACTTACCAAGTTCTATTTGTTCTGCAATATATTCGTGTTCAAAACGTGGCCTTGTTAAATTGGAAAATTATCTTTTAAATGTCGTTCGTCTTGAAATAAAACGAGCCTGACAAACAATAATCTGTGCTGTATGTTCCATTGTAGCAGCGTTAGATAGGGCATGCATAAGTGTTCAAATTATACATCTATCAAGCCTAGGCCTCACTACACACACTACAGATTTTAAAATAAGTGTAGGCCTACTGTAAAGCCCACGTTATCATGAGGATTTGCAAATTAGTTTCTGCAGTATCTTGTCTAAACGGAAAATGGTGTACATACAATTTATTGTGCTCTCTTGAAATGCAATCTATGTATAGTGTTCTTTCTGTGTGCGCATTATACAGGGTGAGTAAAACAAAAAAGCGGAACCCAACCCCCCAAAACATATTTCATATTAAAACAATTTTGTTGCACCAAACATAATAATGACTAGAAAGCCAATTTCATAAGCTACTTTTAGATGAAAAAAAAATTGAAATTGCTCAATCCGTTCAAAGAATATCACCATTTAAACGCAATGACTCTAAAACCTGTTTCGTCCAAAAAACCCCACACAGTTTAGTGTGTATTCTGACTGTTTGGAACAACAATCAACAACTGTAGTACACAATATCTATATTAACAACCCTGGTAAGGCAAACGACATGATTTATAAAATCGACTTTAACAAAAAAAAGACTGGCCTTCCAAAGGACTTTGTTGAATATCTTTTACTGTAAAACTGGGGTTTAATCGTTGGTGATGTTTAAAGACAATTGTGACTACGATTCTTGAGCAATTTCAGAATTTTTTTCATCTAAAGGTATCTTATGAAATTGCCTTTCCAGTCATTATGATGTTTTTTTTTAAATATGAAATATACTTTTTAGGGTTTGGGTATCGCTTTTTTTTTTACTCATCCTGTATGCCTGTACAACGGTCTCTTGAATGATAATTTTGCTTCAGCAGGCAATCAATACTTGTATTTTTCAAGTAGTGTTTGTGATAGCAGTGCCTCACAATCCACCCACTTGTGGCTTCAGCCTCCGACTCAAAGAGCAACGGGCACGAGCTTCGCCGCTAATGGAACCTAATTGCAATACCTTATGCAGTAAACTCCAATATCCAATTAATGTGGTCAACGCAATTACCCTCCATCTTCACTCTGCCGTGTTATTAATCAAAACACTCGGCGCTTCACAAGGTTTTCCTGCTCGAGTGCATATGACTTGTATTTTCCCATATATAGCAAATACACAACACAGGGCGAGTCACAAAAGGAAACCCACATGGCAGGACCATTTTTTTTAATGAAGTTATGCATGTCGCACTATCAAAATCTAAGATATAAACCCAATTAAAAAGGGTTCTTTAATAGTACAAGAATCATTCAAGTCTCTCATGTGCTTTTTAAGGATTTTTTTACGCAACCACCTTTTTAAAAGTGATCACCTAAAAGGTAAGTGTTCTTTCAGCCAAACGAAAAGAATTCACATAGGATGTTTGAGGATTGTTTTCGTTTACTGAGAGAACAGACACTTTTTTTGTGATCCGTGGACAGAACTTTAAAATGGTGGTTGTGTTTAAAATTCCGTAACTTGAAAAGTACATAAGTGATTTGAATGATTCTTGTACTAAAAGAAAGCTGATTAGTTCATATCCTAGATTGTGAAGGTGCTACATGCAGAACTTCATCAATAAATTGGTCCTGCCATTTGAGTTTCCTTTATTGTTACTCACCCTGTAGTGAATCAATAATGATGATAATTATACAGACATACATTCAGAGGGAGAAGTTACAAGATAGACCTATAAAAAATAGGGGAGGCTCGTACGGAGAGTTACTTTAAAAGACGAAAAGGCAGATGTAGAAATGCTGTATTTTATTTTTGTTGTTGACAAAGACATACAAAACGAGACGAAGACAATCTAACATAAGACATCACAGGAACGCAAGAACAGACCGTACATACACAAGTATGATAATTTATGTTGAGTGCACAGAATAAAAGATGAAGACATGAAAGAGCACTGTAATTATCGTAAAGATCGTCCGTCGTGTGTTAGATGGTTTATGAGCATTTCGGACAATTATATCATTACACTTAAAGAAAAATTAAAGGAAAATTGGGCAAATGAGTTGGTATTTGCCCAATGTTGGTCAACATCCAATTGCCTACATTTTGGGGAACTGTTTCCCATAAGTTTTTCACATTTTGCCCGAATTAACCACCAATTGAGGTAATTTCAGATTAGTATAATTTTTTTTTTTTTGGTACAGTGCAATTCTATCTATGCGGTATTATAACTGTAAAAAAAAAAAGATATTCTGAAATCCACGTGTATGCAATTAAACCAACTCAACTGAATTAAACAAAAGTGTGGACTGTGTGAGAATGACCAACCTTGTACGGATAGAAGCGATGGTCTTAGGGGAATCGATCGTAAATGGGAAACGCCGCGCGTACCAAATTAAAATTCTGGACTCATTGGCGCGGCATAGCGGGGGAGAGACAACCTCGTCCTCCGGGTGTCGAGCAGTACACGCCCACCACTACCTGTTCTCTCACCCTAGTATTTGAACCATGTCCAAAAATGTCCAAAATTGTTGGACATGTATGCACATTAGGAATAGTCTGGTGCCTGCCTGTGCTTTACGTTCGTCTTTGTTTTTGTATGCGGTGTCCGGGGTAAACACATAATCAATTCGTCGCGGTGTGAGTTATGTAAACACAATTTTTGTAAAGATTAAATCGTCGTGTGCCCGGAAGGAGGGCCTTATGCGCGAAGGATCGGGTAGGGGAGAGGTTTTTCTACATCTTGAAAATTTCGGTGTTTCTAAATGAAGGTGCGGCAACATTTACTCCCTAAATGAATATAAATCGTCTGTGAAAATTCGCCGTTGCACGTAATTCATCGTCATTAATATTGTCTTCAGCGGCTGATCGAAACACTAAATCCTACATTAGACGCCCTACAGCAACTTTTTCGCTTCCTGAATGAGTGAGCTTTCAGCCGTTATGTAGGACACCAAACATCAAAATTTGATGGGAGCATGTATCTTTTTTTTTTCCCTCCCCCTTTTTTTAATAATGCGAAATATTTCACATGTTTTGTTGTCTCGGAGTCGAAGAGAAACCTTTCTTTACATAATGCATTTGCCCATGTGTGCAAAAAATGCAGAAACAAGTGGGCGCCGACATCCGGGATAGTTTGTTCATATTGGCTGATATAGCTCCCAGACCTATTTATATGTTCTTGAAACTCAATATTTTTTTTTGGGGGGGGGGGGTCTGGAGTGCTGCATGGTAACACATAGCAACCGGTGTGAAAATGAAAAGATGTTTTCATCGGATTCATCCCACCGCAACATACCTGCTCCTCGTTGCCATGGTTACCTTCAACTATAAAAGCACATCACTGGGCACTATTGTGACAGTCGGTCAGAGGATGATTAGATTGGGTAATAACATAAATAATTATATACGTTGGGCCACACAGAAATTGGCTGAAAGCCAGACCATATATCATTCCACGTGATTGGGCAATAGTAACTGCAGAGACTTATGTCGGTGAAAAGAGAATATCCCAAGCGTGATAGGCCTAAAACACGCGACTCTTTCCTCTATCTAAAGTTCCTTCATGACTAGACTGTGTGTCCACCATTTTGTCTCTAAGATGTGTTGTGTTTGTTTAGTTTCCTCCAGTTGGATTTCTAAATATAAATTTGTACATCAATCTACAAGATGTAATGCCCGCATTACTGTTGCACTTGTGTGTTGTGGTGTTTTTTTTTAGTTTTTTTTTACACTTATTTTATTTTGCTTAGGTGATACTTTGTTGAGCAGGACTTTTCTGCTTAGTATTGCGGCAACCGGATGGTGAAATGCTTTGGACACTGTAAGAATTAAAACAAGCTTCAACACCCGATACTGAGCTGATACAACGCATCACTCAAAACGCATGGTGAAACAAACACCCACAAGATAATTATCTGAAATCAAGCTAGACATCGTATTAGTTAATTGATAAGCTGCTCTGAAAGCGCCAGCTGAATTGACTGGATCCGCACGGCCCTCACTTTTTCCCGTGATGGATTATTTGCTCTTCGCCATTACCAGAACACACTTCAAACAACACACCAATTGGGACTAATATGCTTAGTAGTTCAACATGCACGGCCGACTCGCAGTGCGGGGGCGAGAAGTGGCGTGAAGGTCAAATTCACTGCGCATTTATGTATTGGAAGGCCTCCTTTTATCGCAATCTTTCAGGTAATTGTGGATAGCAACGCTCCACAACAAACTGGGTCGATTGTTATAATATACACGTACCACATAATGTTTTCGCATCATGTGCAATCATATGCTTTTGTGCCGACTCAATTTGCTTTTTTGTGTGATGACCATAAACATCGAGGTTTTTTTTTAAAATTGCGAAATAGCCGAAGAAAGAGTTTCATGGCTTACAATTAATACTTTTTAGGTGTTATTATCGGATGTTGACATGCACAACGCATGAGCAACAATGCAATGTAACGGTAAACTTAGACTGACCCCCTTTTTAAACTCTGGCAGGAGCTTCTACATGTCTCTTGGTGGTCTGTCTGTCTGTCTGTCTGTCTGTCTGTCTGTCTGTCAGTGGTGTCTGTCTGTCGGTCGGTCGGGCTGTCTGTCTGTCTCGAAAATTGACCAAAAGTATTTATGTTGTTCCATATGTGTCATCGGCGTCGCATTTTTCGGCGTCGCATTTTTTAGCTCTGGCAGGGATCATTTTGATCGATTTCACGCAAGACTTTCATGGAAGACTTCTTGCAACACGGCCGGAGCTTATTGTGCACTCGCACTTGTTGAATAAGATAAATAGTTGTCTAGCCAATAAGTGTTTGGCCAGTAGAGTAGACCCCATAATAATTAAAGCACCGAACACAAAAACAGGGAAACTCTAAGAGCCCTTTGGAAATTAACAATGCAATCGGTTCAAACTATTTGCATAGATTTTAATCATACATTATGTGATGTGTCATAGCGTCCCCCACCCATGTTTAAATGATGTATCATTTTTTTTGTTTAGTAGGCATATACTGCTGTCTGAAGAAGGCATTGGATGCTTCAGTCTCAAGGATGTATTTCACTCTATGCCGAGTCTTTTCGAGTGATGGGTCTTAAAGGGAAGATACAATATTTGCAAACATCACAAAACGAAATGATCAAATTATCACAAAGTACCATACTGCATTGTTAGGGAATGACAGTCTAAAGCATCCTGTAAAATCATGGCTCCTGGTGTGCTGACATTTTCAAGAAAAATGGTATTTTTCCAACGCTGGTCGGCCGACCAGCGTTGGAGAAAACTGGCTTTTAAAAAAAAACTGCTCCTAATTTTTCATAATTAGTTATTCCGCGTTTTCTTTGCAATTGATTACACAACTGTGAAGAGGTTCAAGCCTGCTAGACTGATTCTCTGACCTTACAATTCCCCAAAGTCTATACATTCTCCATTTCATCTTAAGTGGGGTCAGGGAACCGGACTACAAGAACATGATTGGTTTTCTTCGTTTTTCCAGCATCTACGAGCCCAAAACGTGAAACAAGTCATTTTAACGATATTTGCTTTAACATACTAATCCTCCAAATCCATTTATTTCTGAAAGTTGCAGCAAAAGCAAATGTTTTACTTTCCCTTTAATGGAAATCAAATCCAATTAGTTTATTGATAATTACCAGAGTTGGAACTTGGGCCACTTACAGTGACGTCCCATTGGCATGGGAAAAAAAAAAGGAATATCAGGACAGTGGTGATGTGTATACCTTGCCATCGTCCTAAGGACCCCACTGCAGCTAATTATGTGAAAGGATGCAAAAAGCCCCCTCCCCCTCCCTGTAGGCTAAGTGCGTAGTTAATTATTAAATGAACCCTATTAATTCAATCCATTATATTTTTGGACGCAAGCTTGCTTTGATGATGCTTAACCACGCCATTAATACTCTGGTTTCTAATTCCCAAGTGACTGTTGGTTTATTATGAGAATAGTGGTTTACTCGACGTGTCTGATGGCATATCCCAGATGACTATATATAATCCACCGTAGGATGAACGGAAAGGTATGACGATACCATGTATAAAATGTGGTGTTTTAAAAAGAGAATATATTATATAAAAGCACTTTAAATGGTGAAAAATCTACTTTTCACCTTCTCTGATATGTTGCTTTGAAGTGACGTTGCAATAACATTGGGTTTTACTGGTGTAATGCTACTGTGACAACAACAAATATACAGTACTGCCGACTGACATGCATCGGAGTGAGTTTAATAATACTCATTACATTCAGGAAAATATTGCCAACAAATACTTCTAGCAAACAAAACTCACAGGTGGTCTACTATACGTGGGTTCACGCAGGTTAATATGAGCAACGGCCAAGGTAAACCCGCGGTAGTGGTTTACGGCTATGAATATGTATTCGCGTGAACTGAAGTGTGAACGGATCCTAAGAATGAAATAATAAAACTTGACACAAAGCAATTCACGCCCTTTTGAACCTTTTATTCAGAGACTAGTAGACGTTTTCGGGTTGCACATATTCCCAGCAAGCCATAGGTAGTCTCGTGTTAGTCCTTTGCTCTCATTTTCCGACATTGTGTTAAAAGCGATGGTCAACATGGCAAGGGGTGGGCCTGTCCCCCTCCCCTCCTGGAAAAGCAAAAAAACAGGGGAGGGGAGGGGGAGGGGTGCGCTTTTCCCCACTCCCCCCCCCCCCCGAAAAGGAAAAAAAAAGGAGACCAACAAAAAGAAAAAAAAAAGGAAAAAGAGGCGTTAAGTCATATTTGCTACACATTTAACAAAATGGGCGTCTGCAGGGGTGTCAATGGGGGATAGGTGGGAAAATGTCCCCCCGCCCACCCTCGAAAAAATGAGAATTGAGAATATGCTAGCGAAAGTACAAGGATTTTTTTGGGAAAATGTGCTTCCCCCCCCCAAAAAAATCCTGGCGACGCCAATGATGGTCGACGTGGTTAATTAACTCTGAAAGCATCACGCGCTGCCGAGGACGATCACACTGGAAAGATCTGATTAGTAATTGAAAGATAAAAACCAGTTCCCTCGGGAAACATCACAGATTCAACAACCCACTACGAGTGCTCATTTAGGAAATCCATCGTCACACGATTGAACTTGTGATCGGAGTACAATATGAGTGCGCAATTGTGTTGGGGAATAGGCTGGGCAAACATACAGTTGCGTAGCGACGGTCACGTATTAGGGAAAACCAACGGCAGGGCTGTACGTGTGTTCTTAAGCCATAGGCGCAAGTTCACGTATTTTTGGAGTACGTATAAGCTTGTGGATATTCATTAGTTTGGATTAATCATTATAGACTGCACGGTTGGCTCGTAATCATAATACGTCCGCTATTCATAATCCCAGGAGGGATTTATGGATTAAACGTTAGCGGGACGAGACCTTTATATAGGAGATAATCATGAAAGACGATGCAAGCAAGCAACAGGCGGATCTGGACCGGGAGTTTGCCTCCACGACCACCCTGCACGGCATCGGTCGTGTCATCGAGAGCTCCCGGGCCCTAGTCAAGCTCATCTGGCTCACCATCCTGCTGGTTTGTCTTGGAGTGTGCATCTGGCAGATCACCGATCGGTTCCGGCGGTACTTCAAGTACGAGGCCACTACGGCGGTGTCGGTGGAGTACGTGGGGGACCTGGACTTCCCTGCCGTGACCATCTGCAACTTCAACAGGTGGGTCCTTCACGAGCCGATATATGGCTCACCAGTGCAGTCCGGCGTTTATCTCCGGTTTCCTTGGCATGAAATGACTGAGAATATTTCCGTTCCCTCTGGATGGGATGCCAGTCCATCGCAGGATACTCCTGGGTGGACAGAGGCAAGTGGCTTCCCCACATTGCCGGCGGCAGGATTCGAACCCCTGACACTCGGATCATGAGTCAAAAACCCTAACCAAGATAGGCAATACTCCCCAATGAGTCGGTCGTAGTAACCGAGCTATGGGCATTTATGGGCAACCTTCCTCAATCCTTCACGATCTACCATCTCCAGAATCATATTTCGCTGCTAAAAGCACTCCTTGGGAATCAAGCCCCATGTAAACTAACAATACATAAGCTCCAAACGATGCTTGGATAGACTCACCATGTAGTCTTCAAAGCATTACAATGTCTAAAAGACCTGGGAGGGCTGACAACAACAGCAGTATCCATATTACTAATTGTACGAAAGGTTTCTATTTCAGTCTTTCATAATCTAGACAACATGGTGGATCACCACTCCACATGCCACTGCAATGCAATGCGAGTTGAAAACCATTGGTTAAGAGCCAAACTACATTTACATTAATAATTTTCTTCTTTTGAAAATCCAGTCCATACTTCTCTCCTTGTTGCATTCATAACAAAATGGGTTTGTGGTTCATTTGCGTGTATGGAAATGTTTTTCATGATAAAAAGCACTCATTTACAAACCGACAATCGTATGTTAATCAGTGTTGTAGGTCTCGAGACCGGTCTCGGTCTCGGTCTCGAGACCACTTTTTGCCGGTCTTGGTCTCGGTCTCGGTCCCCTTTGGTCTCGATATTTTGGCTGGTCTCGAGTCGAGACCAGCCAAAAAGTGAGAGGGGGCGGATTCCGCCCCTTCCCTTTTAGGGTTAAGTAAAGAATCAGTTTAGGGCAAATGTGACTGCAGTGTGATGCTAATGGATATGTCTCTCTTCACTTTCTAGTGAGTGAGGCATAGTCCAATAACCATTGCTCCTCTTCTTATTTCTCGATTTTATTGTGGGATGATCTGTTGAAACAAGCACTTTATAGCCATCCTCATTGATTCCAAATACAACTGAGATTTAAATCTTATGAATCAAGACTGAAACATTATTTTTACCGTCAGATTTTGTATTTTGAATATGGGGAACAATTCAACTCTTTTTCCCTAGAAATATTGGGATTTTTTTTCTATTTTCCTTTTCAATTTTTCCTTTATTCGTGGAGGCGGGAAAAACGTGTTTTTTTCTCATTATATTTATTAATGGATATTCATCAATTCGTAGACCGTTACATTGGTATTAGTGGTGGACAGCTAAATTTTGTGATCTCTTTATTAAAATAGACACGACTTGGGAATAGAGTATGCAAATTACGTGAAATGTTCACAGTTACTACTCAATAACATGTTCTTTATCCCAATTGTATTTTTTACAAAATGGAGCGTGCCATTTTTTCTTTATCATACGGTCACTTTCTTTTTGACTCGCCATGTATTCATCTTTTCATCTGTGATAAACACAAATTGAGCTACTGCCATGGTCACACAAAAATAGAGTCTAATTGCCTGCCTCGTCTCCTTCCTAAATGTCAATTGCATTTGCATGAGTCGAGAAGAATTGTGTTCCATTAATCGTTATATGCTGTTTACGGCCATCACAATAAACTATTAATATATTGGCAATATGTCGTACTTGTTAAAATATTCAAGTAAATCGCCCAGCAAAGTAGCCGATGCGGGCGATACGATGGCACGGTACAAAACACAGAGAGGCGTGGGCACTGAGCCATGAATCCTAAAAGTACATCTCGCCCACCACATTCAGTTTGTGACAGCGCCCTTCTATTGTGTCGGCCATATTCTCAAATAGGCTAATGACAATGATGACGGCGGGCAGATTAACAGAAGATAGATCAGGCAAATATGGTTCATCAATCTTCTATAGTATATGTAACGTTATTGACATTAAACAAAAATAAAGTGGCATTACATTTCAGCCTTAGCCAGGCCTTCTTCAGAGGTAAATGACAGAGGAACAAGAAACAAACATGTAGGGGACACACAAACATGCAGGGTTGGAAGGAGAATCACAAAGAGGGAGGGGGGGGGGGCAGACCAATCCATATCTGGCTACCATCTCTCAAATTTTTTGTCTACATGTACAAATCTATATTCCATGACTGAAATTTTAAAACATAAATCAATATTTTCTTGCTCCAATTTTTTTTCGAATCAGGTTTACAAGGAGATCCAATGTAAAATTAAAGTTGCATTTAAATATCCGTTAGTGGTCATTGCTGAAACCAAGGGGTGGCTGTGGAGTTTAGGGTCCGAGTTCCAAAACAGATGAAACATCCACCTTTAACTTTTTACTTTTGTCAAGTTTCAACATGTTCAAGTTTTGCAAAAACTAGTACAAATTGTCGTACTCCTAAGTTAGAGTTTCTTCATCAGATTTACACTTTATAGTAGTTAAACAATATTTGAAAAAAAAATATATGGAGTTCATCAAATAAGGTTTTCCCCTTCTTTAAATTAGGTTGTTTCCAATTTTTTAATTGATTGTGACAATAACAAATTCTGTTGCCATGTTGTAATTTATGGCATGAAGCAAACACGAAGAGCACTCACATGACACAATTAAGCAGGTACAAGTGATTCCTAACTTTCAATCACTTCCTTCACATCCCCATGAACATCAACATCTCAAGGACAGACTGTTCAGCTGTAATTAGTGTCTTGTTGTTTATTTAGATTATTGTTATTTATTATCCGCGGTCTCGGTCTCGGTCTCGGACCATTTCGGTCTCGGTCTCGGTCCGCCTTGAAGGGGCTGGTCTCGGTCTCGGTCTCGGTCTCGCAACTTCAGGTCTCGGTCTTGGTCTCGGTCTCGGACTATCCGGTCTCGACTACAACACTGATGTTAATAATCATTTTTCAATAATCATTCGTATGAAAAGCCCTTCCTCAAGGTTATTTATTTGGCTTTAGATAGTACAACTACCTTTAAGTTGGCCCTTGCATATTGACCAGCTGAATAAATGGCACAGCCATTTGTTTGTACTTTCTGCCTATTTAGTATGAGTTTTTGCAGGATAGGTTTTTAAGTGGCTGATTACTGGAGCAAACAGCCATCGGCACAAGTATGCGTGAGAAAACAAACCACAAAGAGCCTTTAAAATTAACTATTTTCATTTTTTTTTTATTTATTGAGACTGCGACCATCTGATAACATATTTATTTAAAAAGTAAATACCGCCCAACTGAAGCCAATTGTTGACTCTGCAAACGACCATAACCAAATGTCAAATCAACAAAACAAACGACTGTCAAATAGGACGACGAGATCCGCAAGCAGACTTGCCAAACACTCAATAATTGTATTCATCGTAAGTTTGCACTATTAAAAACAACAAAAACATGGCATTTGCTTTGGCAAACGTGCTTTAAGTTTTGTTTCTCTGAAACAATAAACCCATTTAGTTTCAATTTAAGATTTTAACGACTGATTGGTCCTTCTTGTTTGGTACCCATCAACGTGTAGAGGACGGATAATAATCAACTGCAAAACAATTCAATTTTGAAGACAATAGTCCGTGATGATGACAATATTGAATAATTGTATTTATTATTAAGTTTATTATGTCATTAGCAATCGAGTAAATTGTTTTTAATACACCATCTAATCTCAGATACCGTTTGTCAGTACTGACTGAAGCAGATATAGCCAGTCTGGAAGTACTCCTGGAATATACCGACTACGACTACGACACCTACGATGACCCGGAGACACCCGGCGAGGAGCCCAATCCAAACGAGCCCGCCGCCAACTTCAGCTACACGGAGTTCACTGAGCGCACGGGATTCATACTGGACGAGCGCACATTGATGGACTGCAAATGGCGCGGGAAAAAGGACAGTTGCAAGGCGCATGTAAGTTATAGACGTTTGTTGTCTTTCTTTTGATGTCATGATCGGACCTTTCTGTGACGATATTTACCGGAATAAGACTCACATTGGGCTAAAAGAAATACTAGATGTACTGAAACTTCGACCACTAGGATGGGTCCTTCGGCCACTGGGAAAGATTCTGGGACCACTGGGATATGGGTCTTCGGCCAATGAGATGGGTTCTCCGGGCCAATGGAATGGGTTCGTCGGCCACTGCATGGATGGATTCTTCGGTCGCTGGTTCTGGTTCTTGGGCCACTGGGATGGGTTCTTGGGCAACAGGGATGGGTTCTTGGGCAACAGGGATGGGTTCTTCGGCCACTGGGATGGGTTCTTTGGCCACTGCGGTGGGTTATTCGGGTTCGTCGGCCACTGGAACTGGTTCTCTGTCCACTAGGATAGGTTCTCCCGGCCACTGGGATGGGTTCTGGTTCTTGAGCCACTGGGCCGGATGGGTTCTTTGACCACTGGGATAGGTTCTTCGGCCGCTAGGATGGGTTCTTCGGCCACTGGGGCGGGTTCTTGAGCCACCGCCATGGGTTCTGCGGCCACTGGGATGGGTTCTTCAGGTCTCAGCCACCGAGATCATGGTTCCTCGGCCACTGGGACGGATTCTTCTGTCACCGGGATGGGTTCTTCAGCCACTTGGATGGGCTCTTCAGCCACCAGGATGGGTTCTTCGGCCACTGGAATGGGTTCTTCAGCGACCGGGATGGGTTCTTCGGCCACTGGGATGGGTTCTTCAGCCACCGGGATGGGTTCTTCGGCCACTGGGATGGGTTCTTGAGATTAGGAAAAGAGCCTCCGTTTCTGCCAGTGCGGCTGCCGCACTGGCAGAAACGGAGGCTCTTTTACTGCGGCATCGCTTTTGTTTCAATATTAAGATTCCTTATAAAGAGCTAATTGCATGGACTGAATTGACTACATTTACTACATTTAGTGTTATACAATGAACGTAAAAGTATTTTATATTTGCTACAATGTACTATTTTTTGTTCAAAGATATGCACCTAAAAACACAACACAAAGTTACAACCTCTTGGGATGGGGGCCGGGGATAGCCCCCTTTTAGTGCGAATAACAGATTTTGCTAAAAACAAGGCCTTTTGATTATTTTTGTTTTTTCGAAGAATTTCACGCACGAGTTTACTTCATTCGGCAACTGCTGGACCTTTAATTCCGGCGAAGACTCGGATGAAAATGACCTACCAATCTTACATCAGATCCAACCGGGAAGCGGTAACGGCCTGAGAATGATCATTGATATACAGCAGGTAGGCAACATCAATTAAGATCACAGTTTTCTTTAATAAAAAGTCGGTCCTCAAACAAATTCCAAAACTTGCTGTCATGCAACTCTTATCTCTAAATCTCTCAACTCGTTTCCCTCCAATTCTCAGCATGAATACGCTGAACCTGTACAGGGGGGCAATTTGGAAGCCGGACTGAAGGTATTGGTTCATGGCCAAGAAACGCCGCCCTCTGTCGACGCGGAAGGGTTCGCAATCGGTCCTGGCGTCCACGCGTTCGTTGGTGTACGCAAACGAGAGGTTCGTCTTTTCATTAATAATATATTGCTCAGTTCAGGAGGTCTAAAATGTGTTCGCGAGCCCATCGTCTTAATGGTAAACTTGAGCTCGAGGGCTGTATTAATTATCCCAACTAGGTACCAAGTACCAACCAGGGTAAAAAAAATCAATCATTTTGAAAGGCGATAGGACAGAATAATCGAAATTCCACAATAAATCCTTGGTTCTACGCACAACCACTAGGCTGGAAAGACACGTTGCATATTACAGGCATAACATTTTCCAGGGTTCTCCAATAACTTTTTTCACTAGCCATCCAGACAAGTGAAACATACTCTCATCTAGTCCGCAGGCCTTTTCACAAGGATGCAATAGATTTTTTATTGTTTGCATCAAAATGTCATAAACAACAATGTAACTTCATTTTTTTCGAGGGTGGGCAGCAGGACATGCACACCCCACCCCCATTGACACCCCTGCAGACGCTCATTTTGTTAGATGTTTATTAAACGAATAGCAAATATGACTCCACATCTCCTTTTCCCTTTTTTGCTCCCCCCCCCCTCTCGCGAGGTCGAACCCTGACATTTGCATGATTATCTCCAAGTAAAGCGGAACACGCCGGCTGCTGCCTGTTTCTGTTCGGATGCGTACATGTATACCGGTATATGTAAACTTTTACTGTCGATTTGTAATTTCTTTCTTTCAGTACAATAACCTTGAGGAACCGTGGGGAAGATGTGACGAAACGAAGACTCTGACACATTATGAAAAGTACACGCTCCAAGGCTGTTCCATCGAGTGTAAAGCCAAGAAGATCTACGAGAATTGTGAATGCAGACTCGTCAGGTAATGACAACCCAAAGGGCGGCAAAGGAATTGTTTTTTTCCCTTCGAAATGGCGTCACCAGAATTCTAAATGGTGTCATCAATGGTGTCAAAAGAAATTCAAACACCAAATACTTAACAATCAAAAGATTGAATGCGTTGCTTAGTCAAGTCGCTCTGGTAAAAACAATAATTATCATCATTGGAGCACATGTAATTATTCTTAACCCTCTATCGAGTATTGTAGCATATCTGGTACACACACTTTGGTCCAGTATTCTGGCATATAAAAAAAAATCCATCACTTATCACCCATTGCAGCACTTAAGCTACTCTTTTAGAAGTGTTATAGCCCCCTCTACTGGTTATAGTTAGTTAGGTGATGCTTTTGTTTGTCAAGATTCAACGCGGTCATCCGTTTTATGTTGCTTTGGGAAATTGAGGCGTTGTACAAAGTTGGAGGTGATTGCCAGGTAAATATGTCATTGTTCATCGTCTTCCCAATATCAATTAGATTCACATAAAGCTCTTATTTCAAAGAAAAAAAATGTTGGCCCTGAAGCAGGATTTTTTTGGGAAAAAAAACAGTAGCATAAATGCACCTATGGATGGTGACGGTGTAGTGCGTACGTGTACTCATGGCCACTGTACATGAACATTAGATCGTATTAACCAATGTACATGTAGCACACATGCTACATACGTATTTACATGTGTGACAATTAAAGAATAACATTATCGCCTAATGTAGCATATATGCTATATACGTTTTACATGTGTAATTAATATCATGATATTGTCCTCTATTGTAGCATATATGCTACGCTCATTAATTAGAAAGGTCATTAATCAATTTACAAGTTTTCGATTTTTTCCCTCAAATTTCACACCAAATTGATGAAAAAAAAATCATTATTAGAATTGTCCTCAACTGTTTATTGGTCTTGGTATAGAAGGTTAAGGAGTCCACCTTCACCGTAGTCTCTGGTTCATTTAGTTTGTATCTTTTGTTTTTACATTACAGGCATCCTGGCAATGAAATAGAGTGCTCCCCTAAACAAGTCAAGAACTGCGCCACTCCAGTTTTAAGTATGACCTCAATATAACCTCTTTTCTTTCCTTGAACTATTCATTAACCAACTTCAAATACAAAGTAACATGGTGTCTTTTCAGAAATATCTATTCTGTTCGTTCGAAAATGTTGATATACACAAATTACCCTTCAGTGATATAGCAGTACCGCGAGCCAATGCATGGGCTACATCCTTATTCGCGAGGACGCCATTTAGGGCGCGTTCCCTGAATGATTTTCATAAATTGTGAACTGTTGAATGGGATGGTGCCAGACTATTTATGCATTTTAGCGTCACTTTCAATGTGTTTTTTTTTTAAATGTGGCTTTATAAAGCATTAGGGCGTGTTTAATCACAAATTTTAAATTATTCATAAGAGCACACTGGTATTAATTTGTAATTAACTTTATGTCATTGCTTTCATTTCTCTTCGCAAGTTTCAAAAATGAGGATTTTGCCTCGCTTTCAATTTAATATGGCCGACTCGTGAATATGATCCCGTTGTATTAACTGGATGCACGAAAAAGATCACTAAGTAACCACTTTGTTTCAAAAAATAAAATTGTATGTATTTCATCTTGCAGCGCAGCTGAAGGCGGGTGAGATAAAGGATTGCGAGTGCCCGGTGCCGTGCAACTACAGCGAGTTCCGTACCAGTCTATCCACGGCGGTTCTGCCTAACAACAATGTGATGGAGGAACTGTGGAAGTTATACAGCCCAGACGACTTTGCTAATTACACAGACGATCAGTCAGGATTATACATCAGGTTATTTACACTACGCCGTTTGCACCCTTTAAATTAAGGCGATGTACATGTATAATGGAGTCCAATATTCACCCCAGTTTCACTCCACACTTGATACGGTTGACATGAGAGTTTTAATGCAATGCAATCGCTCAACTCACGGTTTGAGGTGATCTGCCCACTCGTATCCTGTCGGCACTATCGCTAACGATCAGCAAGCCCAACATCCACTAAGTTCACGATGATTAACCACTCATAGCGTTCATAAAGACACAATCATAGCTGGCGAAGACGATGTAGACGGATATAATATGGTAACGAACACGGAGCACATTAAACTTGAAAAGTGACGGATGAAAACAATGTGCATTGTTGCACACATGTCTATACGTGTTGGGGAAAATGGCGCTCCACACAAACACGTGCCACACCACGGAAGTCGTGAACTTTGACGTAGTTCATTAACATAACATCTGACATGGTCAGCCAAACATGCAAAATTGCTAACGCACAATGAAAGTGTCCATTATAATTCTTTTTCTCTGGATGAAAGTCATAACCGAGCCTCGCGGGGAAAAAAACCTTCATTTTTAATTTCTTTTGTTTACACCATAGTTAATTAAAATAGGGTGATCGTTTCCATAAGACCGTTCTACCTCCATTATTATGATTATCTCCAAAGACTTGTGTGCGTAAATTTAAACGGCTGTTCCGAAGTCAAAGCCGGAAGGTTCCGAAATCAAAACCGGAAGTTGACACCGGCAAGTAATGATCACGGTGGCTGTTTCCTGTGATTCTATGGATTTGTCAACATTGAGTGTTCATACAGGGTGAGTCAAAAAGAGCGGAACCCAAACCCCCAAAATTATATTTCATATTTAAAAAAGTATGTAGCGCCAAAAATAAAAACGACTAAAAGACATTCCATAAGCTACTTTTAGATGAAAACATTACTTAAATTGGTCAATCCGTCACCATTTAAACACATTGACCCTAAAACTAGTCTCGTACAAAAAAAATGTGTACGGTCGTCACAATTGTCTTCAAAACATCATGGGTTTCGCTTTTTTTTTTTACTCGCCCTGTATACCCTGGCCATTGATATGTTTGTACCAAACTATATATGCAAGGCAGAGAACTAGCGAACTTTTCATTTTCGTAATTCTTCTCCTGAAATCTGCAGGGAAAATTGGATCTTGCTGGACGTCTTCTACGAGTCCCTGAACTTCGAGAAGTACGTGCAATCCGAGGCAATCAGCGCATCAGCTTTAATCAGTAAGTGTTATGGATCCAATGAAAAAAAATGCATTTTGTACAATTAAACACCTAAAACATACCTACTTCATTGTTTTTGTACCAAAAGCTTCACAATAAAAATAACATCAATGATGTCCGTAATATTTTGCTTTGGTTGCTGCTATAATCGATCCTTATTGTTATTAGTTTCTATACAAACGCTATACAAACAAGTACGGTCTGGTACATGGACGTTATTCCTTTCCAATTGCTGTTGTTGTTGTTTTTTTGCTTCGCAGGTGATATTGGTGGCCAGTTGGGCCTATTCCTTGGGGCCAGCTTCATAACAATGACCGAGATATTGGAATACCTCGGTCGCAAAGCAGGCCGCTTTTTCACGAGCTGCTCGCAACGAACGACGATCAATCCTATAAAGACTCGACCACGGGAAGATACCATTGGTATTAAGGACCTGCCTTCATCTTCTGGATCGTAGTTCAATGTATGGACAAAATACCCCATCTAATCCTCAGTAAGCGGTGGATTTCTTACAGACTCTTTCATGGATAGATTGGAAATACACAGTGGCGTGTCAAGTTGCATTTGATGGTCAGATTAATTACAAAAATTAAATATATGAAAATGGATAAAAATGTGCCCCGAGGGGGTCACCACAGCAGTCAACAATTGTTTGAATATATCTATATGTACGAATAAGTCAAAACGATCAAATGGTTGTAACTTACTTTGCAAGGAAATAAATCGCAGCTCAGTCGTGAGCGCGCTTACGGCAGGTGTTTTATCAACCATTTAAAACCAGCCAATTGACAGGCTTTCGACCAATAGGAATTTGTTGTCTTAGGCTTTCGACCAATAGGAATTTTCTGAATTGTCTTAGGTATTTATGAATAAGCATTAATATATAATTACTATTACTACTTCAGTGTACTATACGTTCAGTTGAATTGATAAGCGAACAATTTGGAACGGTATATTTATACATACAACATTTTTAAGTAAAAAATATAACCGGTTTAAATATAGTTGTTTATAGATATTTCTTAAGATGTTTATTTAAACCACCAATTGATCTAAGACGGGGCAGTGGGGAGAGACTATTCTAAAAAAAAAAAAAAATAGGTCTTTGGCATTTAACCGCGTTGATAAATATATAGATGTCTTTACCCTATAAAATTGCAAATTCCTTGAATTCATTGTATTATACTGGTAAATACATCTTTGTTCTAAGTGAAGCAGGTAATAAATTCCTATCATATTTAAACATAATGACTTCAATTTGGTATTTATATAACTCATGGATATAGACAGTGGATTAAATTGATGAAAAAGGCGTGCGGCGCGTGCTCTTGAATGTGATCGAATGAGAACAATCATGTTATCAGTTCATGGTACGGTATAGCCACTTGCTTTCGGCTCAACACTTTGCTGTGTTCAAAACAACATGTGTGATTCATGCAAAGTCCTCAAATATACGTATGAGGATTCCCCAAAGTGCCAAATACGGCATCTCAGGATCCACTTTTCAAATCGAGAATTAAAATAGTGGTACACGTAGGCAGGTGTTCGGCGTTATGGAAAGAGATGTCACCTTAGATGTGCGGAAAAGGGAAGAGAACCCCCGTCGTTCCTTGACTATTGGGCACAGGGTTACAAGCCTGTGAGCGTATCGTTATAGTTAAGGGGCAAAAAGTCATAGAACATGCGATCGTCTTATTACACAATGATATACTGATCGTTGGGTCGTATAAAGCTGTATCACCGATGGCATATTGACAATGGCCTAAATTTGGACGTGCGGGTGTGTGCATGCGTGTTTATACAAATTCAAATCGGTCGATATGTTATTGCAATCCTCAAAATAAAAGAATTGCATTTTAACATTAAATCATCCATATAATCATCCTCAAAATAAAAGAATTGCATTTTAACATTAAATCATCCATATAAAAGGACCGAAACTCATTTTCAATGGTACATTATGCATAGTCTACTGCTGACTCAGTGAACTCTTTTTTTTTTCAAGACTGTTCCATCAGATTTGCTAGTTAACGACGTCATTTCCTTCAGTCGAATTCAAGTTTTCAGCCCCGGATACTGACACCATCTGAGGCGCCAGTTTCCGGATTTCCAAGCCCAAATTATACCTCGGACCCTAGAAACTACTCGAGCAATCTAAAGGCCCAGGGATAATGTGAGCTCGTTTGGGGGAAATATACCGCCGATTGGTTGCTGATAGTCTGTTCTCTAAATTACTCTGAAACAATAAACTCCCAGGGCCATCAAGGGACAGCAATATTCATTTATTCTGAAAGATTATGCATATTTTATCGGAAACCCTAACACAAATCTAACACTACAAAAAACCTCTACAAATCAAATATTTATCCAATTTCACAGTCTCATCTTCTAATTAAAGTATGAGCTGGTTGTTCTGAACAAAACCTCTCTAATGTTTAAACGTAAGATTAGACCTCACACGGCAAGACTCTTTGCAGTGACGTCTGGTCCTTGACTTCACTATTGCGGAATTGGTCTCTGCGAGACTATCTACGCTGAGGGGTGCAGACCAGTAAATCGGTCCGAAATTGCCTGCTTCGGCCAAATCACGATTTGCATGCCCTCAAAATCTTCGGTATTTGAGCATGCTGTGGGCCATGAACTTGAGGGTTTGTAAAAAATATGGGTGGAAACCGTGCACAGGACTTGGAGCTTGCAGTTCTGTGTAATTTTGATGTAATTTGGACCCTAAAAGCGCTCTACTTTGCAATGGAGTGTAGGCATCGTTTTTCAAAATGGCGATGGGCTTCAGGACTATTTTCAGGGGTGATCATCTTCAGATGGAAATTTCTCCTAAAAGTCATCAGTTGACCCCCCAAAAATTGAAAAGAAAATGAAAGATGATGAAATAAGCTTTAATTTGATGTGTGTCTCGAACACCTTGGCGAGTTGTGAGTATTTTTCCCGAATTTTTGAAGTGGGAGCATTCACCATTGGGGGCTATGGAAGTTTATTTACTGGTCTGCTACCTGAGTGGATCATTCGTCTATATAAAGTACAATGTACGCACGGGTCAAGTTTCTATAACTGTAACACACAGCCGGCTGTACAAGTCTCAACGGTGTTAACTTCTAATGAACAAAACATGTACATGCGATTTTCTCACCAGTCAACGCTGTGCTGACTCTGAAGACAAACACAGCGAACTACCGAACGCGATACACTGAAGACTCGAACTTCTGACTGCGGAGTGACTCTGAAAATGAACCGATCGAACAACTTTTAGACTGACGGACTCTTTGACTGAATTGACGGAACTAGAACCAGAACTCAAAGTCTAAAGAACTGACGGAATTTCGCCCTGCACACCGCTCTTTTATACAGCGAGCGCGACAGCTAAGCATGGACGGAAGCCCCGCCTAATAGCAATGATCGCGCTGCGGATTGGCCACTATCGCGTAGACTTGCTTCAAGCCGTATACATGTAGTCGGTCGCCATGCTAAAAACACTTAGCGCATCTTAGACCCGTCAATCAAAACAGCAGACTTGTTCCCAGTCGCTACCCCTATTTCGTCACACAGAACCGAGCCTAGCTTTGTACTGCTCTCAGTCCAAACCAGCTAAAACCCAAATACACTGACGAGAGGAGCGACAAAAAAGTCTAAAGGTCTATACTTTTACACTTGAGGCTCTTCTGTTTCTTGTCTACTTTCTCTTGGCAAGCGGACATCTTCGCTCTGGACTCATAACAGCAACAGAAAACACGAAGGGTCAACAGAATGAACCTCTACCTCACACTCTTTTCCCTTTTTAGACAATAGACAATAGGTTGACCTGAAGCTATGCCTCTCTGCCGATACCTCGAAGGCAGTCGGTGTTCTCTTCCTGGGTACCTCCGTGTTGAGTCCGTTGCTGACCTCGGGGTAGCTGTGGTTGCTCGGACAATACCTCCTCGTGAGGTTATCCCTCAATGACAGACTCTCTGTCTGGCATCTCTTGTTTTTTCTCTACCTTTCTTGCCTCTTCGATTCTCTCTGTCTCCTCTAACCGACTATTTTTCTCTAAACTGCCTCTAGTACGGATACTAATTCTTCTCCCTGGTATGGCTTAAGTCTGTCAGCATGAACTACTTTCATTGTCCTCCATTTCTAAGCTGTATGCGGAAAGTGACGTCTGACGCAACTTCTGGAGTACAACCCACGGTCCCTCCCACCTTAAATTTAACTTGGAAGAAAGGGCTCTCTTTTTAACCGGGTTATGCTAAACTTGTCGTCAAAGTCATTCTCGAGTTTTGCGAGAAAAACTGCAATTTGAATTTCTTATTTCCCCCATACCTCACCATGGTTTAAAAACGTTTCCATCAGACCATTCTACCTCCATTATTATCTCTAAGGACTTATGTGCGTAAATTTCAACGGCTGTTCAGAAATCAAAACCTGCAGTTGACACGGGTGAATAATGTGGCATTTTCCTGTGATTTAATGGATTTGTCAACATTGGAGTTTACGCCGGGTTCATGGACATTGATATGTTATACCAAACTCCATAACTAACATCAGGCAAAAATATAGCGCCGACAGTTATGGTTAATCAATGATGCGACTGGCGTTGCTCCTGTGCCATAATTTCACCACCAATGGCCCAGTTAAAGATGGTTTTACACGACTTCATCAGCCTTTAAGTATACATATAGTTGGTCATTATCACCATCAGTGTAAATACAATCGTGAGTGCAGAGCATGCAGTAAAAGAAGTAAAAAATCTGGGCAATCTTTTTTTTCCGAATTTATATCAAGCTTTGAACCGGCCACAGAAATGCTAGGCAGAGAACAACCGAACATTATACTTTAATTCCTGTCTTGAAATGTGTTGGAAAAATTGGATCTTGCTGGACGTCTACTACGAGTCCCTGAACTTCGAGAAATACGTGCAATCCGAGGCAATCAGCGCGGCAGCTTTAATGAGTACGTGCGATGGATCTAATACCCTTAGGCAAAGAGATGCAGTAACCACAATTCTTATACAAAAAAACTACCAAAACCACACAAATTATAAAATAACATCAATATCTGTTTTATTTTTTCTTTGGTTGCTGCTGTAATCGATCCTGATTGTTATTAGTTTATATACAAACGCTACAAACAAGTGCGGTCTGGTACCTGGACGTTATTCCTTTCCAAATTCTATGTTTGTTTCGCAGGTGATATTGGTGGCCAGTCACTTGTGTGCCTATTCCTTGGGCCAGCTTCGTATTTTATGGCTGAGATATTGAACTACATTGGCCGCAAAAGCAGGCCGCTTTATCACGAGCTGCTCGCAACGACAGACGGTCAAGCCTAAGACTCGACCACGGAAGATACCATGGGCATCCGGGACCTGCCTTCGTCTTATGAATCGTAGTCTACATGTATATACAAATGTACATATAAGGACAAACTACCCCCTCTAATCAACAGTAAGCTGTTGCAACATGTACGATGAATCCATGCATGCTCTAGACTCTTTCATGGATAGATTGGAAACACACCACAGTGGGGCGTTAACGTTGCATTGCATTGTGGGTCAGCTTGCATACGAATAGAGAGCTTTATGTAGCACAAACTTCCCAACAATGCACCACAAACAGAAACTTTAGCCGCATCATCTCGGTTTGGCTGGCATCCATCAAAAAGGTTCACGTTGGCGTCTTCATCACACCTTTCTGATATTTTTGGCGTAAAGGGAACACCAGGTCCCTGATTCTAAGCAGTTTTGACTGTCTCCATCTCACGCACTGCAGGCATCTCGCACACGGGGCTAGTGGCGGTCTTCCTCGGCTCTATCCGGGCCAGGACTCTGCCCAATTTCCGGCCCAAGTAAGACAGGATCTCCGTCAAAGTGATGAAACTGGCTCCGAGAAACAACCCGAGCTGACCGCCGATGTCGCCTGCAAAGACGGTCCATGAAAATACATTGCGTGACACTTTTCTGCTGAACAGATACTTTCTGTGTAAATTATTTTAGATGCATATAAATAATTTAAACTTGTTAAAGAAAGCCATGGATACCTTTTGCTGAAACACCACATTTCAGAATTTACCGTTTTGGTTTCTAAATAAAAGTGTGATGTCAGTTGAGGCTGAAACCTCAATGTTGCAGCTATTTTAGCACCAAAATTGGCCAGAATTTTCGATGTTTTTCTGTCGTAGATGTGTTTGTCTTTGGTGATTCGTTGTTTCAGTACACATGGAAGAAAACCGCATTGAGCAAAGTTTTCTCACAAACTTTTTCAATGAGCAAATTTAATATGTTCAGCTCAAGAGCAAAATTTACAAATATCTGCCTTTTTAATATTGTTCAAGTAGCTCTACGCATGGCGGTGATCAAAATAAAAGGCTGGAAAATGAGGGTTTCAAACGATTGCCATCAAAAACACTAAACTGTTTGGCATAAAGCCAACTTGCACTTACTGATCAACGCCGAAGATGTAATTGCTTCTGACTGCTCGTAAAGCTGAAAATTAATATTCTCGTAGAACACATCCAGCACAATCCAATTGTTCCTGTAATGAAGAAAAATGATTAAAACTGCCATGGTTCAATACTGTGCAGACATGATTAATCGGAGGATTTTTTTTTTTTTTAGAGAGGATTAGGCCTACAGCTCTTGCCTATATGGGAATAATGAACAAACAGCTTTGATCGTTATTCCCATACAAACATCGTTTTGTTGTAAAAGGTTTTTTTTGTTTTACATCACAATGTAACAAAAAGGTTTTGACATGTAGGCCTAGTTTTACAATTAAGTGATAAAGCTGTTTCTCCCGTCTCTCTGGTCGAGTTTCAACCAGAAATAGATTCCGGATATTATTTGAAATTGCTATGTTTCTTTAGCGATACAACAATTATTCACTTTTGAATGAAAATCAACATAAAGACCAGCTCACGTTTACTTATGGAATATTTTATCTTGCAATATGGACTTATTTGCTGCCTGACAAAAATACAGATGGATCTTTTTTGTGGTATAGTAGAGACGCCAAAATAAAACTTGTTTTTTTTTTCGTTTTAACTAAAGGGTCTTACTCCATGTAAGTACTATCTAGTAACTGTGGACTTTCTCCCACGCTGCTAACGCTACTTGCAGAGCCTGACGTCAAGTTGGTGGTGTATTGTGAGAGTTCATCGTACTGGTCAATCAGCAACTGAGCTGTGCGCTGGCTGGGTATAGCAGCTGTAGATAAGATAGTGATGTAGCTTGTGTAGTTGCAGGGGACCGGACACTCACAGGCGGGGAGCTCCCCGCTCTTGAGTTTACCTGCATAGGGTAATCAATAAGAATGGATTGAGATTTTTCTCAAATATATTTGGGTGGTTTTTTTTGGTTCAATACGGTATGACGACTTCTTCTGGACATTGAAACGAAAGGTTCCGAACAAATGCACAGGCATAGAAGCTCGGAATTCCAAAGACGTGGACATGGAAGGTCAGGAAAGTACCACTTGCCAAACCTGACATCCAAAAAGATACTATGAATCTGATGAAAGACTGCAGTAATACTAGTAGAAATGAAAGCGCGGGGTGAACTTACTCAAGACGTCTTTGGCGCAATTATTTGTCTGTTTGGGTGTGCACTCCACTTCGGTTCCAGGATGTCTGTTAACGAATAGAGCATATCCATCTGTCAGTCAGTCTTTAACTGAAAAACTACTAGAGGTTTGCAAAAATGTGAAAGTGAAGTCGCTAGTCTTCAAAGCCTTGAATATATAAATCCTTGGCAATCGCCATGAACGTTATTAGTTGCGCGCATGCGACCGAAAATAATTTAAGGTTTATTACGTCATCGTTGTTTATTACCATTTACCAATCATCGTTGTTTTATATAGAAACGATTACCGGCTAGATGCCAACATTGTTCAAGGGCTCAGCCTGTCGACTTACCTTACAAGCCTGCAGTTGCACATCTCGAAGATCCTTTGGGCCCTGCACTCGATGTTGCATCCTTCCAGTGTGTACTTTGTGAAACTGGTCAGCTTTCTAGAGGCGTCGCACTTGCCATATGGGGGCTCGAGGTTGAGAAACTGAAACATTGAACAGTAATTGCGCGTCATATTAATAATATCAAAAACATATAAAGCGCTGGTATCTAGGTAAACATATTCACTGCGCTGGGGTCTCAGACAATTAATGATAAGCTTGAATGAAGAGATAAGTTCTCAGACAAGTTTTGAAAGATTCAGTGTCAGGTTGTGATCTCATGGCTATTGGCAGACTGTTCCATAGGCGAGGGGCAGCGACATGAAAACGTCTCATGTGTCCATAAGTCTTCAACCTTGAAGATGGAGCCACAAGCAAGTGCGCATCACTAGAGTGTAGTTGGCGCACAGGCTTGTATGGCCGGATATGAGTTGTTGCATGTAATGGGGTGCAGTTCCGTTGATAGGCTGGTATAGGTCATGATGGAATCTCATAGATTTAGAGTTGAGTCATGATTTCATTAGAAAAAAAACCCGATATGCATGCAATTAATGACATAATAACTGCATGAAATGCTGTTGATGAAGTCAAAAGTTAGTGCAACAATTCAGGGGAATGGACATGCGGCATATATGCTGAAGGAATGAACAAAAACTAGGACATCTCCCCTTAATAAACGCTGTCAATTTATTTCTGGGTACCGTACAGCAGTAGAATCAGTTAGGTAAATGAATTTGCAACAAATGTAAGGTACAAGTAAGTATAGGCCAACTACCCTCCAACTACCCTCCTGGGCAACATGCCCAGAAGCTGCAGTATGGACCCAACCTGTTGTTTCCGTGTTGCCACGAAGGCATGTACGCCCGGCTGTACGGCGAAGCCTTGCGAGTCGATCATTGGCGGGGTGCCCTGGTCGTGCACCAGGACTTTCAGTCCGGCTTCTATGTTCCCCGACAGAGACTCCGAGTATTCGTGCTACATTAAGAGCAATGGGAAAAGAAAAAAAACATTCGTTCGTCTGGTGTATCATAAATGAGATGAAACAGGAAATTCGATAGATAAGCACTTGCTTTTTTAGTGTCTAACTTTATGACTTTTAACAATAGAAACATTCTTATCTTACAGCCTGTTTTAAAAGGATTTGGGTAAAGCAGTTATCATTGAGGCCGTGCCAATCATCGAGGAAAGGTATAAGAAACCCGGGGGCCAGACTTTACCTGTTGTATGTCAATCATCATCCTGAGTCCGTTACCAGCTCCCGACTGGATCTCCTTCAGAATCGGCTCGCCGTCTGACCCACCGTTGAATGTCCAACAGTTGCCGAAGGAAGTGAAGACATGCGAGAAGTTCTGAAAGGGTGAGGGACAAACCAGACCGCTAAACCGTGTTCGTGAAGAAAAATTTGAACAATCTTGATGTTTGATTGGGACATTTTTTTGTGAAAAGGTAAAATTTTGTTCCAAGAGATGCCCGGGAAGGTCGAGCCCGTCCCGCAAAAGTGATCAATATGCAACTTGCGCACCAGAGCATGTAGAGTGTCAAGCTGGTATGTATAAGTTGTGATAAATTAAGTCTATAAAACCGTGTAATTGCCAGAAAATATAGCCATGGCTTTATTCGGCAGCCATTAAGGTGGCAGGTCACTCGCCAGTTTGTCGCATGCTACAATGCAAGAGCATTCTGTTCAACCTCGTTCCCATGGGCGCGCCATGTTGTTTCCCATCATGCCTTGCGCGATCTCAAGTGAAGGAACGCGCACGCGCCCATGGAGTCGAGGCTGCATTCTGTCAACCCCATTGGTCGAACGATTGAGTGCGCGCGTATGACCCGTAAACGCAAAGCGCGAGCGCGATGCCGACTCGATTATGGGTTCCGTATCCTGGACATGGATTGTGGTCACCGGACTTTAGGCCTAAGGGAGACTAAGGGCCAAAGCAAGCAAAATAATAGAATGACAAGCAAGCCTTACAGCGGCCGAGCAGCTACTGTTCTTTCCTCGCCAATCGCAGCTCAAGAGGGTTGCGTCGTCCAAGACGAAACCCGCCCTTAGGGTGAACTCAGTGTAGTTGAAAGCCGCGCTGGTGTTGTCATCGTCCAGTGGGTAGCTGTCCCACGACGAGGAAAAGCTGCTCAATTCACCGTACTCGTCGTAATCGTAATCGTTGGTATCCAGGATGTAATTCAACGTCCGCAAGTCGGCCGCTGTCAACTCACTCATGCGATACCTGTTCAGGAATTGAGGACAAGCAGGGACATCACCTTTTGTAATGCAGGCAATGACACCGTCCGTTGTTTCAGGCAGGTCAATCGGCTGTTTACTAACGGATATTTTGGAAGTACCGCAAGATACTAAGGAAGGTCGACTTAAAACGAAAATAATGTAGTAAAGCTTTTACAACTCCATGATGTAAAGATAGAGTAGGCTAACTTAAAGGACCTGAACACTGTGAAATCTTCTGGTGATTTTTAAGTCGAAATAACTGTCACAGATTGATCAATAATGTCAGCAGATTTTGGCGACGGCCCTCACCTGCAGTAATTGTACTAATAATAACAATAATAAAGGGTTCTTATATAGCGCTGCTGAGATCAAAGCACTTTACATCATTATTACCCCTGATCATTGGGCTAATGAAACATTCCAAATACCATCTCAGCTCCCTGAGGTATATACAGCTCGATGCTGTCTGTTAGGCGCAAGGACGTACAATAACCATCTCTGCCCTCACAGGTACCCATTTACTCCTTGGTGGAGAGAAGCAATGAGCCTGACAAAGTGCCTTGTCCAAGGGCACACGCACCATGACCCCAGGCTGGACTCAAACCCACAACCTGCTGCTTTACCCACAGACCACGAATCTAATGCCCTTAACCACAAGGCCACAGCACTCCCTCACGTTTTTCACTGATAAAACTTTCCAAATGAACACATTTACATGAATTATAAAAACAAAACAAAATACCTATTGAAATTGCATATTGTGACGGCGGGAAAGTCCAGATCGCCCACGTACTCCACGGAAATGGCCGTGTTGGCCTTGTACATGAAGAAGCGCTGGAGACGGTCTGTAATCTGGGCAACGCAGACTCCCAGGAAGACGAGCATGATGAGAAGCCAGGCCAGACGGAAGATCGTACGGGTGGTGTTGTTGGCCACGCGGGCGATGCCGTGTAGGCTGGTGGTGGAGACGAACTCCTCCTCAAGACTGGTCTCTGGGGTCCGTGAGGCTGTCATCATCAAGGGTTGTCCCTAACATAAAAATAAATGTTTTCTAAGTTTTGATACCAGTTCTAATCAGTACAGAAGGTTTATAAATTTAAATTATTTTTGGATTGATTTTGATGTTCTCGTGTTTATAGGTCCATGCACAAGTTTTTCACAAATACAAGTGCAACAAATTTTTGGTTGTGCACCAAATTCTGGGGGCGATCCAATGGCCAATATATACTCTTGACAAATCCCCCTATGGCCTAACCACCGAGATTTACGCCCGGGTCCAAAGAAGAGCGGATATGGTTTTCCGTAGTTCGATTAGCTTTAGGCCAAAAAAAAAATAAGTCTCCGGTTTCTGGTATGGAGCTTGCCCAAAAAGTGTCGCGGCGACACGGCTTTTTTTTTTACCTGTTTTTTTTTGCTTCAAATGTCGGCTGATGACTGCAAATGGTGCCCGACTAAACTTCGTGCAAATATATGAGTCCAGAGAAGCCACATAACGCTTATTCTCGATCATAACCCCATCTAAAAACACGTTAAAATTGTGCAGCAGCAGGATTCCAGTCAAATTGGTGAGTTTGGCGGTTTGAGACATCATCTTTCAGTGAAAAAAATGTTTCAGTTTGCCGACGCGCATGGCTACGGCGACGCGCGCGCATACCAGAAACCGGAGACTTTTTTTTTTGGCCTTACTCAAATGAACGCTCTTTGAAGATGGTTGGAGAACTATTGTCCACACTCCGTATCCAGCAATAAAACCGAATTTCTCTCATCATTTACACAACTTCGAATGACAGCTAAATAATAACAGCTGGTCTTTGGTTTCAATATCAACTGTTTATATTTTGTTCCCCTATATAGCCGGGATGGTATATGACAACTTTGAATGCATACCTTGCGTGCATAAGCCTTGCAAATACCTAGCCAAAAATTGAGAAACACAATAGAGTAATTAACAGGCTTCAATTCATTTTTTCTAAAGTGTGAATGCAATAAAAAGTCCTGCTTAAGACCACCACGATGTCATGACGTCAGGTCAAACAGTACCTGCACCATTACATGGCAAATCTTCAGTTACATAAGCAAGGCGTTTCGGTCATATAGTTCCTTCATCAATAACTACACGCAAATGCGAGGTACGTAAAAACATCAGATGAGATCGAATGCAGACAATCCACATCATACTTCATGGTATGGATAGCCACTTGCTTTCGGCTCAACACTTTTCTGTGTTCAAAACATTAGGTGTGATTCATGCAAAGTCCTCAAATAATGATGCAGTGCCACATACGCCACCTCAGGATCCAGTAGAGATCGAGAATCAAAACGGCGGTATTAACTAATACGGTTCGGAAAGGAAGAAAATACTTTTTGCTGTTGTTTTGTTCTAATACGAGATATTGTATCATCTTGCCAAAATAGTCACGTTCTTCGCTTTTCCAGTTTTATAGTGGTACCACTTTTCTAATTTTCTAAGCAGAAAAAAAATGACACGAAGATAAATACCAACATCAAAATACTCGTCAGAATGAAGTCCCGAAACGGTCACGACTCCTTGTAGACTTTTGAAGACAAAAACAATTTCGCCAGTTTATTGATGGCGCATCATCCGTGTGTATCCATCAAAGACCAAAAGGTTCACCCACTTTTTCGTTTTCCTGGGAACGTTGCTACCTTGAAACTCATCATTTTTAAAGGTAATCGGTTGGATTATGATGCACAACTTAAGTTGCATATGCCAGCTGTATCATAATTATGTGGGTATTATCCGTATGATACTGGGTTGACGATACTTATTATTGTGCCACTCACCTTGCTAGCTTGTAGTTTCTTCACAGTCTCTGAGCCAGAATACACCATCCAGCAAACACCTTGAAAACACAATCCAGTTTATATATATACAGTCCTCAAACTGAACAGTGTAACCAACTGCGATCAGTTTGAACAAACTTGGAACAGGAAGACCGGGGTAAATTTACATCTCCAAATTCGTGACCGCGACAGAAACGTGTGTTGCCCCGTCTCCATAGGGCAGTGTTGTGAGGATGGTTACCTACGAGCTGCATGCACGACTGAGCAAATACTGTACGCAACACGAGGGATCTTCGCTGTTCCCAGTGGGACTGGGTGCCAGCGTCTATACACACTCTTTTGTGTGTGAAAGCTTCCAAGGACCATCGTTTCTTTTGACAGTTTGTAAGCCTTGTTTGTTCATTGACGTGACGTGGGCCAAGTGTCCTCCTTCGTTGGTTCTACATTGAATAATAATTATATTTCATCACATGCCACAATATTATTGTGTCACGAACTAGGTTCCTGCTGTGGACATGGCTTATAGGCCTATATAGGGGGCCCGAGGAGCCATGAGTGACAACAGGGTCAGGTGAAAGTTTGCTGAAGGATCATGTCCGTCTCTGAAAGACACGATGCATTTCCTTCAGTTGTCTCGAACAACAGAGACAGGTCATTGGCTATATTGAAGGTCCAAATGCTCGAGAAACTGGTTCAAGAACATCGATTTTTGTAAACGTTAACGAATGTTTGTCACCTTGAATCGCCAATCATGTTTGCATGTCAAAACCGCTACACCCATGGGCGTCGCCAGGATTTTTCCGGGGGGGGGGGGCAAAGCAAATTCCCCCCCCCCCAAATTCCTTCCGTTTTTCTTTATATTTATCATTTTTCTGTCATTATATTTATCATATCCCCCCATCAAATTAACAGCAATATGGCTTCGCACCTCGTTCTCCTTATTAGCATATGAGGAGATTATGCGTATGGGCTTATTACTATAGGCCTATAACGCAGTCCAGAAAATCACAAACCTGCCGAAAGACACGGGTGTTATACACATAACCGTAATTCCGCTGTAAGAAACTTACTGCGCGAAATCTCCCAAGTTTAAGCTTCTATTTTGGAACGCTTGATTAGCATCTGACATATCACAGAAAACACAAAGTGAGTAATTAGACTCATAATCGTAAGAAGTGAGTCACTTTGTCCATATAGTGACACACTTTGGCTCAAAGTGTCTCACTACACGGACAAAATGACTCAATTATTACGATATTGAGTCAAATTACTCACTTTCTGTTTTCTGTAAATAGGCTAGGTCTAATGGATTAATAAAACTTTAAAACGATGGCAGTCAGTATTTACATTTATTTACATAAAACGGTTGCGTCGTTACTGCTGCCTGCCATTACCCCAAACTAAAATCAAGGATGATTGATCCTGAATGGATATGCGGACATAATTCATAACATATATGAATAAATAAAGGTGCCGCACCAGTATGTAGGCCTAATGTGCTTTGATTCTGCATTGTATATAGGCCTAGGCCTGATATCATAAGGTATACTTAACTGCAGTGGCGTAGCCACCGGGGGGGGGGGGCGTGGGGGGTGGGCGACCGCCCCCCATGAAACCTTGTCGCCCCCCAGTCGCCCCCCCCCCCCCCCCACTGAGATTTTGAGTTTCTAAAAAAATTATCATTGATCTACATGACGCCATGGACCCCATTATGTACTACAATGTATCTTTTGCTTAGAAAATATTGGTTAAAGTGGTCAGAAATTGCCTCAGATAGCGCCACAGAGCATTTAGAATCCAAAATTGTTCGGGGCCCTTAAGCGGGCCCCGAACCCCACGCCTATAGCTCAGAATTCTGGTAGCTGATTCAATGACTCCAACCTCGAAAACAATGTTCACAAAATGTTCTTATGCCTTTAGCTGAGAAAACCTCGAAAATTATGTTTAAATTATTATCTTTTGTGCTAAGATAATTATTGGTTAAAGTGGTAAGAAATTGCCTCAGATCACACCACAGAGCATCGAAAATCCATTTTTTTTTCGGGGCCCTTAAGCGGGCCCCGAACCCCACGCCAATAGCTCAGAATACCGATAGCTGATTCAATGTCTCCAACCTCGAATACGATGTTCAAATAATTATCTTTTGCCAAGAAGATATTAGTTAAAGCATGGAGGAAAGTCGTAAGAAATTACTTCAAATCACACCACAGAACATCTAGAATCCAATTTTTTTCGGGGCCCTTAAGCGGGCCCCGAACCCCACGCCGTAAGGGCTTCGCGCTTCGCGCTTGCATCAGTTAGGATCAAGGTATGTCCCCCCCCCCCACTTTTGAGAAGCGATTGACGCCCCTGCTTGACGCCCCCCCATGAAATGTTCCAGCCCCCCACCCCCAGGCCCCCCCCCCCCCACTGAAAAATTCCTGGCTACGCCACTGCTTAACTGACGGTTGAATTCAACCAAATCACTTTCGATCTGTCCTTGGATGCTGTAGCAAATTGAGCACATCCAGAAAATTTGACGATTTTTTTTTCGGACCAATTTTTGCCACAAACCGAACATTTCAAGTTCAACTAAAAAACACCATGCACTGCAAAACGAAGCTTATTACCGATGACACCGACAAGATGAATAAAGGTACATCCATGCAGGAACTCCTTAAGAAAGAAAACTTACCCTAAAATGGCATGGTGTTGGCGTGTAAAAGGACACGATTGCTGCCTTCAACGACGGACATTTTGAACGCGATCGTTCACTTGTCGAAGCTGATGTTGCTTCTCGTGAGGCATTACTACTCGGTGTTGTGGAACTCCGGGCCCCCGGTACTCACCCGCCTCGACGAGCGGAAAAGGGAGTCCAACACCAACGTCATTCCTGAACTATAATGCACAGAATGGCAAGCCTTTGAGCGTATGCTATAGTCAAGGGATACAAAAGTAATAAAACATGGGATCGTTCTAATATTATTATACTGAACTTGCTCATTCATTTTGCAATTACACTGATAGATGGGTCGGAAGCTGTATCCCCCGAGGAATATATGGCTATATTAAATTACTGGAATGTGGAATTTTAGATAAAGCACTCTATATAGTCCTAGGAATGCAGCAAGACGACAAGCCGGGCAGGGTCCCATGTGATCTCCTCTAATGACTTGAGTGTTTACAAACCGCTCTATGTACATGTACATCCCCATGAAAGATGGGCTGAAACCGGCTTCGCCCTGCAACAAAAACAAAACATGCAAGACTCGTCCGCGGCTACACTGGCAGATGAAGCACCTCTGACATGACTTGTAACGTAAGGTCCTTCAGACTCTTGTAGTGTCTATCTTACCAACAAGCAAAAAAGAGGAAGAGTTGTTTCCCTATCTCAAGTTTGTTTGGTACCAATATATACTTTAGACTCTTAAGAGTCTCGATACGCCAAACATCGGCAAGTCTCTTCATTATGTCACCGGTTCAGACGTCATGTGCTAGTCGAAACGACTCAAGTACATGCATGCGTGCTTTTTAAATTCCGAGTCGGTCGGCAATCCTAAAAATAATGTTTCATATTTTAACATTAATTATCTATATGAAAGGACTCAAGCTCACTTGCAACTTAACTATGCTGCTATGCATAGTGTAGGCCCTACTGGTGACTGAACTAAACCGGTGCCAACAGTTTTACTAGTTCACGACGTAAAATATAGTAGCACATAATGTATACCGTTCTCCATCACAAATTCTTTATTACAACATGTCAAAAGTTAAAACCGAACCAAACATGCTCAATTAACGTGACAACGAGTGAAATATCGAGAGATAAAGGTACCTGTACAGGATGGTGAAGTGCGGCATGAACTCGAAGACCACAAAAAGAAAGGAAGCCTAGCGCACCTATGAATTGGAGTCAAGGGATATAGTTATAGTAGAGGGGCGATTTTTTTTTGATTTTTTTTTTTTACACATTATGACGAGTGTCAGGAATACGCGATGAATTGGCTTAGTGCTTGGTGTGTATAGACTCCTTAGAAAGAAAGCTGTAGAAAGCAGCGGCTGCTTGTCCACAGAGTAGTCGAGGTGACTCAAGTTATAGGTGTGCAGGTGCATGCAGTAGATACAGATGCAAGTAAAAATGTCCTCATTTCTTAGAGTTGCTGGTGGGTGGTGGGAGGACGCATGTCTCTCACTGCCGGAAGGGCCACTGCCTTAAAAGCTGTAAATGAACTGGGTGTTAGGCCCCCCGTACTGCTTCCAGCGGGAGCTTGCTCTATATTGGTACGGTGCAGACCGTACGAAGAATGAGAATTTGACTGATGAGTTTCTTTAACGCCTGGATTGGTTAGTGAAGGTGATGTTGGGATCTGCCTAATACTGGGTGAAGTTGCATGTACACAATATTATGTGGAAAACTGACATTGACGAAGTGGATTTTGTATAACATGGTGCACTGGTTTTGATTGCTAGCTGATCCAGCTTGAGTTGTTGGAGTATACTAGTTGTCCTGAGAGATAGTTGTCCGGGAGAGATACTATATAGTTGTCCGGAGAGATACTGGTCGTCCAGAGAGATACTAGTTGTCCAGAGAGATACTAGTTGTCCAGAGAGATACTAGTTGTCCAGTGAGATAGTGTCCGGAGAGATACTTTTCCAAAGACTTGTCCGGAGAGATATATACCAGTAGTCCAGATATCATGACTAGTTCTAGTTGTCAGGAGAGATACTTATAGTTGTCCAGAGAGATACATGCACTAGTTTTCCGGAGAGATACTAGTTGTCAGGAGAGACATAGCCTAGTTGTCCGGAGAGATACTAGTTGTCCGGAGAGATACTAGTTGTCCGGAGAGATACTAGTTGTCCGGAGAGATACCAGTAGTTATACTGGTTCTCCGGAGAGATACTATAGCTAGTTGTCAGGAGAGATACTTGTCCAGAGATATACTAATTGTTCGGAGAGATAGGCCTACTATATAGTTGTCAGGAGAGACTCTAGTTCACGGTCCGGAGAGATACTTGGCAGACCAATCAAGGGCCTGCAACTATATATATAACCAAACCTGTCCGGGACATCCACAGGTTTTTATTATGGCGCACATCATGTCACAATCCATTTCAAAATCTACAAATCCTTTTTCAAGATATCTCAAAATCATTTTAAGATGTCTCGAAATTGTTTCCGCGTGTCGCATTGACAAAAAAAGGAAAAGATTTCAAGATATCTTGAAATCATTTGTCTTAAAATCCATTTCAAGATATCTCAAAATGATTCTTGAAATCGATTCCACTTCCGGCAGCATAATGTATTTTTAAGCACAAAATATTAATGTTACCCGGAAGTGGAAATGATTTCACGATTTAGAGATATATTTCCAGCCTCCGAGGCATTTATAGATCATAGGATCTATTTTTGCAATCCGTGTGCCCCGAGCGTCTCCCGATACATATGTATGCTCCACGTGTGTGTACACATCCGCCCCGCGCACGTGCACGCGTGAATTAATGGCATGTGATCCATTTATTTTTAACCTTGTCGTGCATGTTTTAATACAGTACACGTGCGAAGGTCGATTTGGTTTCTAGAAAGCTGAGGCAGCGGAGAATCAGTACTCGTGCACGCACCCTCCTTACAATCGCGTTTGGAATCGATCATTTGTATTTGCTCGACTGTTATTCGCGATTGGGTAGAATCGCTGTGTGATCAGGCAAAATACCTCATGATCGTTGCATTTGAGCAGCTCTTTGATAAATGAATAAATCAAATCCGTTTATTATTTTCACACCCTAGGAGAAGTAATAACTGTCCATCATAACATTTCTATCAGGATGTCTTATCAATTTTCGGTTACCACAAAGTCCCCCCCCCCAACCCCGCCCATATGTCAAACAAGCGATCGACTCTGTATTTTCATACAGCGTATTCGATCTAACATAAGAATCGATGTTACGTTTATTTACAAGCAAAATGCAGTACGCAGAGGTCGTGTGGACACACGTGTCTTGCACTTCCAATAATAGTGTGACCAAGTTTCAGAATGGGTTAAAAACATGAAAAAGGCCTGTGGCAAGGATGTGAGCGGTCATATATTGTCGCCAGCTGAGATGCTACCTTTCCACCGACCAAGCATGGAGGAAGCCTTCCTCCATGAACCAAGAGACTGAGCTTTGTTTGTGTTCAGAAAATAGTCGTGACTGTGCGAAGCTTAAGCAGGTAAGCGGACATATGGATGGTGCATTGATAGTGTAGTGCATGTAGTGACTGGGTCGTTGACCTAGTTAACACTTTAAATCAACGTTTGATTCTTTCAAAGCCGTGTCCTAGTTTTAGTGATCCCCCTATATTATTTCCCAGCTTTGCAGCATTATTATTAAATGTTGCTAGCATCGTGACTTTAGGGCGTGATCCGCGTGGCTGCGGTATAAATTTAAAAGGTTGGTTGAAAAGGGGCTGTTCCTGTGGAAGGGCGCTATGATTGAAGTGACACATTTCGGTCTCTGCCGGGGGATTGGGGGGGGGAGCCCCTCTGCACCTGCTGGAATTGCCACTACAGAAACAGATTTTACTTTTCCTTCCTCATTGACCAGGAATGGAGGTAAGTATCTTTCAAGTGAAAAAAAAATCAGTCCCATTTTTGATTTCCTCAAGAGTCAAGGACAACTTTTTCTCAACCAGCATCTGGCTCACTAATAGTAGTTCAGTATTTGAGCCACATTTAGGGGCTATAGTCCTTCACACAATGGCTGTCATGAATTAACCACCCATCATGTCACCATCTAAATATCCTACTTTTTACTAGTTCATATTATTTGACCTGATCTTTATTTTTCTCAGGCTGTCATGGAGCCAGGGGAGAAATCGCAGCACCGGGCTGGTGGTGTGGTGAAACTGAGGTCACGGGAGTCTCGTGCCCAGCGCAAGCGGGCCGTGCAGCTGCGCATGGAACAGCTGGCCCGGGACCTGTGCCTGACCGGGGAGAGGAGATCAGTCTGGAGCCTGCTGCCCGTCAACTTGCTCATGCGCATCCTGAAGCTCTTGCCCCTGGCTGATAGAGGACGCTGCAGTCGCGTCTGCATGCGCTGGCATGCCGTCTGCCACATGCCGGACCTGTGGCACGAGTTCGTGTTTGAGTTTGCGCTGGAGACGGCACTTGTCAGCTTCACGCCGGAGTCCCTGATCAAACTGGTGAGGAATGAGATGGTGAATGTAGGGGTTGGGGATAACCAAAAGATTTTTTTCAGTTACTTTACAATTTCGGTCGATTGTCATCACACTAGCTCGGCCTGCAGTTATACAATTTTTTTCAGTTATTTATCTTTCCCTTTTTCTTTAATAGTTTTGAGTTATCAAAATCGATACTGGAAACAAAAGATTCAGTAATCAGTCATTCACCCACCTTTTCAGAATGTTTGTCGTGACATTATATTATATCATCTGTGTAGCCTCGGGATGTTGAGGTTCATGTATCTCCAATTTGTCTTGGCAGATATTTGAGAAGCACAGCGCTGACTTGAAACACGTGACCATCAAGGTAGACAGCCAGGAAAAGTCGGAAGCGATGGCATGTAACGTCCTGACACAGCTCGGATGCTGCACACTGCAGACGCTGAAACTCAGGTCACTGTTGGGGTACAGCTTTACATCAGTGCAACCCAAGCAGGTTAGAAAGACAGTTTCTTTAGTTGATATTGAGTCAAATAAAGAAGGTGGAAAGGGATTTGAATCTGCAAACTCTAGAGCACAATTCCCGAGCCATACAAAATGAGATGTCCAGCCCTGCGCTTGGCATTCTCAATACGCAGCTGTGTCTATGACTATATCTGCTTGCCTCTTTGGTGTCTTGATGCAACAGTTTTCCTAACTTTCTTATTCCAGGTTGCCTTGGCAATGGGCGGGATCTTCTCCAACTCGCCTCTGAAGGAGCTTGCCGTTGAGAAGACGCTGGTTGACGACGCCTTGTTGCAGATGATGGCAGGCAAGAGCCAGGCTACCTTAACCTCGCTCAAGATTGACTTCTGCCCTGCGCTTTCTGCATCAGGTGAGAATTCGTCTCAAGTGGTGAAGTCAATGATTTAGAGTCCACAACAATATTTATGACCGTGCCAGTGGTAAAGGAGACAACATAACAAATTTCACTAATGACATTCCATTCCACTTGGCAGGAATCACAAGTGCTCTTGGTATCTGCGTGCACCTGTGCGAGTTGTCCATGGACTACCACCAGCTGAGTGACCCCCTCCTTCGGGCCCTCTCAACGCCTGCCCACGTTCCCATGAAGGACCTTAACATCAGTGTAGTGGAGCCAGATGGGAAGGACACAGAGACATTTTCTTGGCAGAATGTCAGCCAGGCGGGCTGGGACTCGTTTGCCCAACACTCCCCGGATGTGAGTTTCAATTTGCATTTCCTCAAACTGGAGGAGGAGAGCTTTGCAAACTTCTTCCACTACGGGTTACCAGTGACTTTGCTTCACTTCGGATGCTACGTGTCGCAACCGGTGCTGTGTCGCATGGCGCAGCACTGTCCGCGACTCCAGGTGCTCCTCTTGGGGAACACTGGAATGGAGGATCCCGTCGACCGGGCGATTCTGGAAATCGGCCAGAGATGCAAGCAGCTCCGGGGTGTGGAGCTAAGCAGTTCGTTTATGAGTTGCGCGGGCGTTGTGAGGCTGGCCAAGCTGTGCGGGCCCAGGCTGACCACACTCGTCGTGTTCGAGGGGATGGTGGTCGAAGACGCAGAGTGCGACATGGAGAGGATGGTGCAGGAAGCCTCCAAACATTTGCAGAGACCGTGGAATGTGGAATTCTTCCCCACTTGGTTTGAATGAGAGATTTCTCAGTGCAACCAAGTACGACTGTGAATCACACAAATGCCAACTCTCAGAGCAATTTTGCCAGGAATCTTCCCGAGTCTTGTAAAATCAACCACTGTAAAGCAATCAAATGACACATTCCATGTAAACTAATACTGTGATCCACTAGACTCTAACAACCCATATCCTACGAAATCCTCCAAAATGGTTGATTTTGCAGAATCTGGGAGAGGTACGCTTAAAAACCATTTTGAAAGAGGCTATTTTATTTACAAAGTTGAGACACCAACAATATTTGTGTCATTTTAATTGAGTGGGGTAATATTTTGTTGCAACTTTTATATGTTGTTGCCCAAATTTTTCGCCAGATGTTTCTTTTTGTATCACATCCCTCAATGCAGGCAGCAAACCTTGCACTGAATAATGGACTTGTATTAAAATTAAATATTTTTGTATAGTTATACATGTACTTCATATACATGTGTATATATATACATGTTTATACACAATGTTGCTCGTGTATTGGACTGAAGAAAAATCCTTCCTTTTTGCAAATATGGGTTGACATATCATGCACTAATCGATGTAATTTTAATTTTGGCTTAAAAACATCCCACTGCCATTACCAGTATTCTATGTTATTGTAAAATATGTATCAATATTGCATTTTATTTTAAATCTAAATTATGGTTTGTGAGCTTAAATTTGAATAATTTTTTGGCACTTTTTTCCAGAAGTTGTGGATCATTTGAGCTCAGCTTTTCATGGCTTTGTAAAGATATTTATTTCTTTAACACAAATTATATAAATTTATAAATGTTACTTTCAAAAACTGATGCGTGTGCAATCCTTCCAAGATCTGGAAAGTTTCTCAAACTATACTGACAGGGTCTTTGAAACTAATTTGCAGTGTATATTAAAAGAAAAAAAGGACAATGAAGACATGTTATTTATTTGGTATATTTGATGACACTGTTACCTTTTTATAGCATTAATTAATAACTTTACCTGGACAAACTAAGGGGGAAAGAGGAGTAGAAAAAAAGTTGCATAAGTTGTAGAAAGTTCGCATTTAAATGGCAGTTGCGTTTGGTTATGATGTAAATCAATGACACACAAGTCACGTGTTACACATGCACATACATTGTATCACTTTTACCATATTGTCACTCAAAATGAAAATAAAGCACGGGAACTTATCGAATATTTTGTCAATTCGGCCTCCCTTTAACATTTATTTGATTAAAAATCCAGTGAACCTTTTTACACAAACATTGCTCGTTCAAGGTAATTTTTTTTTAAGGGGACGATATACGTTTCTACAAAGGGGTAAAAAACGAGTATTGAATTGTGCATTGTTACCAGTAAATCGTGACAAATAGAAACTGCCCTTTTAAATAGTACACTTGCCGAGTGCAGATTGTTTTTCAGAGGAAAAAGAACATGATTTTTTGTAAATTATGAGCAAGATGTGCAAGTCAGAAAATTGATGTTCACGGTTCAATAACTTAAAAAGCCTTTCATAAGGGTTTTTAATAATCCAGTGACTATGGGCCTATGGCTAATAATTTTCCGTTGACATTTAATGATGCAAATTATCAATTTGAAAAAGAAACGACAAACTCCAGGACACAAAACAATTATTACATGGAAAATACAGTCAAATAAAATCAGAGCATGTGAAATGTGACAAACGCCAATAAAATAAAAGTATTACAAATTTAAAAGAATATCTCCCCCCCCCCACAATAAAATAGATAGCTCACGCCCACATTGATTGTGACAGATAAATAACAACTCGACACGATATTTTTAAGATCCAAAATGCTTTATTCAAACAGGGGATGCACATGCATGATTGTCCGACTGTCGGCTGAAGTTGAAGAGTGTGCCTGCCCCCTCACAAATCTCTTGCTGACATCACAGCTCTACTTATTCAATATTTTTCCAGTGTTTTTTCCATGAAGGCGTTGAGCCGGCCCAGCATGGGTCGGGGGTCATCCACCAATCCAGCGGCAATCATGGCGTTATCATACACCTGAATCAAAAGGAAACAATGAGTGAACACTTGTCATTAAGTGTAAAAAAGGGAAAGACTGCCATGACTAATATGGTTCATCAAGCCGGTGTTTATCTCCAGTTTCCTTGTCATGAAACAACTGGATGGGATGTAGAAGTCCATCGCAGGAATCTCCCCCGTTTATGCTTTGATCTATTCATACTCCTGGGTGGAGAGAGGCAAGTTGAGGTAAATGGCTTGCCCAAGGACACAACATATGACCAGCAGCTGGATTCGAACCCCTGACCCTCTGATCACGAGTCACGAACCCTAACCACTGCCCCAATGAGTGTATGGCCATTTCACCAGATGGCTTGGTCATATTAATATGACCAAGCCAATACACATATTGTATTCTCGTACTTCAATCGTGTCCATCGCAACCATTTCTTGTACTCATTTCCTACCTGTTCACCGAGTAGTTTGGCTAAAGCTGGTTCGCTGGTCTTCAAAGCAAACAGCTTCTGCACTATGGGATGGCTGGGAGTATAAAGCAACAGAATTGTTTCAAGGGTAATCAAAATAACAAAACCTAAAGAATGTAACTTCCATAGTACCAAATCTTGATTAAGATACAGAGTGAAATAAGACTGGTGCAATTCAAGACCAGTTCAAGACATTAACCGGTTCATGTCAGATGACGTGTATACACGCAAAGGTTTTGCGGTATTCGGAACGGATGACGGATAAACACGCAACAAGCGAGGCCGGAAATATCAATCTGCGACCCACTCGCAGCGAGCGCAGCCAGAAATATCAGGGTGTGCTACCCGCAGATGACGGCCTGAACCCGTCTGGCATCAAGGTTTGTGAAAAGTTGAGTACAACTTTTACAAACCAACATCAAAAATGCATACTTGTGCTAGGTAAAACCTACAGATGGCTTGAACAGAGACTAGCATATTCACATACCTTCCGTTGAGTTCCAGGGTTGGCTGCAGCAACTGCAGTTTCTCCTCCTCGCTGCGATTCTTCAGCGCGGTGCGCAGAAAGTGGCGAGCCGCCCCCATCTCAGCCACGGTCACCATTGCTGGATGGTGGGCGAGGCGCTGGGTTATCTACAGACACAAAAAAAGGGTTGAAATACTTCTCTTTTTTTTAAACCCTTGCAGTCACACTTGATTTGAAGTTAACACTACAATCTTCATTTCTGTCAAAATGTAAAGGAAATAGAAAGGTATGGTTTTGAGGTGGCACGATCACATTTCCATAATTTAAAGCTCCATGTTTTGCTGGCTTTGACGTTTGACATACCTTGATATTAGCCACTTTACTTCCCAGAACATCTTTCATGTAAGTGATCAGCGAGTCAGACTCCTCCTCCGTCAGACTGCCTTCAACTGATGACAATCAGAAAAATATTTCAAATCAGTTTATGCTATTAACACCTGCATTACATTGTATTACATTGTATTACATTGTATTACATTGTATTACATTGTATTACACTGTATACATTTCGTTATGAATCCATAAGAACAATGCTGAGGGCAGTTTTGGGCGGTTCAGGGAGTAGGGTGGTACAGTGGCTAATAGGTAATTTGGCTTCATCCAATGCATGGGTTACCTGTCTCCGTTTCGGCAGATTCTGTCCCGGCGTTCTGCACGGCCATCTCGCTCTCGACCGAGGTCAGCAGCTTGCGATCAAACTCTCGCAGCTGCAGCATGGTCAGCTCGTCGTACTCGGCGTAGCAGAATAGCACCTCATGATCTTGCTGCTTGAAAGCCTCGAAGTACGGCGACGACTCAGCCAATTCACGACTGCGATCAGAGCAGGTTGGCAAAAGGAAATAGTTATCAAACTTGTAATGACACAAGTTTTGGAGACTCGACTCGATTCAAATTATACTGGGGACTTGCAAATTCTATGACTTACAACAAAACTGAAAGAAATGCAATGAGGATGTGTCAAATATTAGAATATGCAAATATTCAAATTTAACCCTTACCCTACTTGACCCTCCAATGCATGCCAATTGTGCCTCAAGAAAATCTCCTATGTTTTTTGCATGGCCCTCCAATATCTGCCATGTCATTTCAAGGGTAACTGGACAGGCACTCCAATACATGCCACAGAGAACAATGAGAGTCCTCTGATAACAAAGTGAGTGCCCCCAGCTGGTCAGTATCAGGCACCCTCCAGGGCCTCCAACTCCTGCCAATTGGAGCCTTCACTGTTAAGACTTGTTATCTGCCAAATAACTGCAGCTGGAGGGCATTGGCATAACCAACTGACATGCAGTAAACTACCCTCAGAGAGTAAGGGTTAATACTGAATATTCATTAGACACAAACCTCGGAGCACAGATGTAGTACATGTTTCTCTGGCCGGCCTTCATGCGGGAGGCGTAGTCTTGCAGACTTGTCAGGTTGCCTGCAGGTTGGGATGAGGTCTCAAAGCAAAGAAGCTTGGCTATCTCCTCCTATGCACACAGAAACACACAGATTGGGTTGTGTTCACAATGCAGACATACAAATATCAGCCATTGAGAAAATAACATGTCTACATTTCAGCGCGGATGTGCGGATACCCCCCTGACATCCAAAGCTGGATACGCTACTGGAAAGTGTGCATGTAAGCTGTTATGATAGAAACAAAGAAGCTTTGTGAACAGAGTCTTTATCACTCAATGGGCGATGAGAAGACATGCATTTTCACGAAATGCTGATGTGCAAACCTTTTCCGCCTGCTCACTGGCCGAGATGATGCCCTCTCGCAGAAACGTGCCATACTCTGTGAAGAATTGCTCGTACATCTTCAGGTCCTTCTTGCGTTGGTCCAGTAAGAATCGAACCAGACGACTGGTGATCACAGTTCTCAACTTCCTGTAGCAAATTAAAATTAATTTAAAAAGGAGTATCACACCAAATGATATCTTGCCAAAACATCCATGATTTTCTACTCCGTTATAAAAATAATGGGGCGTCCTGTTTTGGTTGCGATTAGTCGTGGACTAAAATGTACCCTGTCTGTATTTACCCTGGACATTACTCACCTTATGAGGGCGCTGTCCTGGAGCAGCTCTCTACTCAGATTCAGCGGGATATCCTCGCTGTCCACAACACCTTAAAGTCGAAAGAAAGTAGGAAAACAATTTCATTGATGGCACTTCAAAAATATAAATGTACCATTTTGGGCGTGGCATTTTTTTTGATTGACGAAGTCTTGGGGGCTGAAATGTTTGTCAAACTTTGTCCAAGTACCTTATTTAATTTGGGCGATTCACAATTCCAAGAGTTTGCCGTGGAGAGTCCATTTTTCAAGTTTATGGTCGACAAAACATGGCCCATTTGAGTGAGTGTCAGTAGACAACTTGAGCTAATTTGTTTTAGTTGGGCGTAGCATTCTGTTGCCTTCCAAAGAACACCACATTGATAAAAAGAAAAGAAAAGGGCAAAAAGATACTCGAATCATACGCTTACGAAACTACAGACTGGAAAAACGAACAATTTTAAATGTCCCACACTTCGAATTTGTCGACCATCTCCCACAATGCACTGGGAAAAATGAACTCTCCGTGGCAGACTGCATTGTGAATCGCTCGAAGGGAATCATATTAGACTTTAAGTAACAGCCATAATATTCTGACAAACCTTGGATAAATCTGAACCACTTAGGCAGTATCTTGTCTGACTTCTGCTGGATAAGCACCCGCCTACTGTACAGAGCCACGCCCCCTGTGTGGTCCTGGCTGAGCTCCCACATGGCAGGGGGTCGGCCAGGGACATAGAACAGGCTGCGAATGTTCAGCGGCGCGTCCGTCTTGTAGTGCAGCGTGTAGCGCGGTTTGTCGTAGGAATTATGGGTCAGGAACTGGTAGAAGTCTTCGTGCTGTTGGTCCGACACCTCGCGCGGATCTTTCGTCCACAAGGCCTGAAAACAGATGACAGCGATGAGGTTGACGGTGTGCTATGAAACGCTGGACGCAATATGTCCCTACTTGACAGCTATGCCACATGATAAGAGTCAAGTGCATATGGCATCTTAAATGCTCAATTTGGGTTGAATTTGGCAAAGCTTCCGTTTTTTTGGAGAACATGATAAACAAAATTTAAAAACTACCTGTGTGGTATTCATCTGTTTGCCATTCAGAAAGATCGGCATGCCCACAAACGTGCTGTGTTTGCTGATGATATCTGCAAAAATAGATGAAGCATCCGAATAAAAAAAGATGGTTAAGTTTGATGGTCCTGTTGCAAAATTGTCACTCTCTTGAAAAAAAAAATATCCTAGACGGCCATTCAGTCCTTTGAATTGAAAAGAAACAAGGGAGGAAAATTTCTGACTTCAAGTTTAGAGGGAACAACAACCCAGAACAACATGCACGTTGAATATGGCTGCCATGCAAGGAATCTGTTATTTCAAAAATTAGTACGATATGCAATTTGCCATTTGGTGAACAAGTGTCAAAAAGTTGATACCAAACTCATTTGTGGGATCACTTTTATTACGGAATTCAACAACATCATTATCTCTAACCCTGCCAGACGCAACACAGTGCATAAGGTGGAAAAGTCTGGTGCACTTTGATGCATTCAGCTACCAACACCCGTGCATAATCAGCCTCTTCTGAGACAATGAGAGCCATAGAACAACGCCTCAGCTGTATCTCCTGCTACGTTCAGGGACCACAGACTCTGAGGTAGTTGAGATTTTTGGCCTGATGGATCTTGCTGCACTGGGCAGGCTTGGCACTGAGACAAGTGTTGCACAATGCTGCGTTTGGCAGGGTTTCTAGCCAAAATACCCTGGAGGATTAGGGTTAAAGGAAAGCACCAATATGTGCAATATTCAAATTGGGACCTCTGACCTTTGACATCGGCCTCCATGGCAAATCGCCAGCAATCCTTCTTGAGGTGGATGACAATCTTGGTGCCCTTCTGGACCCCATCGGCTTCAATGATGTCGTAGTTGCCGGTCCTGTCAGTGTCAACAGATACGAATAAATAATCACTGAACCCTCCTGTTGTCTGAACAGTCACAGACAGTCAAAAAAATCCTCTTCCCCTGCCATGCCTTTTACACAGGCTAGTCACCAACAGTCAGATCATATTTATAGCAAGCACTGAGACTCGTCAAAAGCAGTCAACAGACAAAAGCAGGCAAGAAGTAGGCAATTGGCTCATCAATCACCTAAAGTCAAAGCATAGCTGTATCAAGTTATCGACATTCACAGCCGGTCGATCCTGTTTTATGTAGGCTGGGAGCTCTTAACTCCTTCAGTCACTTGACTGATTGTGATTAGAAGGACAACTTTGCACAGAACGTTTGCATAGGAGGGTCAAGATACAGTGCACCACCAGTGTTCAACTAAAGGCAATTATTTGTATTTATAAGGGAAAAACTGCATTGGCAGCGACTCACTGAATCCCTACTCTATTGTTTATCGCATTTCCAACAGTCTCCTGGAATCTGTGCTTACCCGTCCGATGACCAGCGGTAGGCCTTGGAGCCCGGCTGGTGAGACATGGAGTAGACGTCCACGTGGTCTGCCACCATGAAGGCCGAGTAGAAGCCCACCCCAAACTGGCCCACGATGCTCCCGCTGGTCGACCCTGTCTGTCCATCCTTCTTCAACTCCTCAAGAAATGCCTGCAAGATGACAGAATTCATTTTGAGTGCATTCGATTACTTCCCCCGCGCTTATTCTTGCAAGTGCGACAGCGTTTGATTTACCTCTCACGTGACTTCTCGCGCTCACTCGAGCCTGGCCCAAGTAAACGACTCGACGAGCCGGTTACTTGGGTAAGTATCCCATAAGGCCATGCAATGAACATGGCTGCCAACGTGACGTCCGGCGGGCACCTCAGGCCGTGTCCGAATCGGGCTTCCAGAGCTACGGCTACGTCTAGTTGTCAGCGCGTCCCCGCGTATTTTCAATGGGCTCGGACCTAGACTTGCTCTAGACAGTTGATTCGGATGCAGCCTGAGCCCTCAGTGTCATGTCAACTTTCAACTTTCCAGCTCATGCACGAAAATTTACACGAAACCATTCATTTATTTAGCTCCACTGCGCATGTCTGCCATCACGCGGAGCCAGGGGCGAGTAAGCTGGGGGAAGTAATCGAACGCACTCAGTATAGCAAACTAGATGCAAAAGGTATTAGGGAGTAATTCTGTAACAATTACTGAGCTGGGACCACATTCGTCAATGAAATGTCCAGGAAAAACACGGAAGAATATATTACCTTGGATCCTGACCTAGCTATGGTGCCCAAGTTGTCAATCATTTCTTGCAGCGTCATTCCAATACCAGTGTCCTGCAATGCAACAGAAGAACAATTCAACCTAAAGTATAGCACAACAACACGGGACACAGTAGATTATTGTTGTCTTTCGACAGTAATAATATTTTGCAACAGAAGTTTATGGCAACAAACAATATATTTCAAATATTGACACTTGTTTTGCATACAAATTTAGAGGCTGAATGCTAACTTCACACAGGGCTTGATGTTCCAATTTTAAGTACAAAGATTATACCGTTGATGCTTGTTCGGTTTGCGGTTACACCATGTGGTAATAACCACTGCTTAGAAGATATTTAGTTCTGAAAAGAGAAAGAAAACTGAACTCACCTGAATGGTAATAGTTCCTGCCTCCTGATTGGTTGCTATGTGGATCTCCAAGGGAAGGTCCCCACTGACCCCTGACCCAGATGTCAACGACACGTAGCGTAACTTCTCCAGAGCGTCGCTGGCATTGGAAATGAGCTCTCGGATGAACACCTGAGATAATATAAAAGGTTCTTTAAATTTTCTTGTGTTTTTTTGGTCTGGCTTCAAGAAACAAAATAACTTGCAACAGGACTTTAACTGGTACTGTAATGCAGAAGCCCGAGTTTTGCCCTTATGTTCGAGTTTGAATGGCAAATTTTCATCATCACATGTTGAAAATTTTCAGGTGCAGGTGAATTCAACAGAGACTGAGTTGTTGAAGCATAAAGCATGAACCACCTCTGACTAAGTGTGGATAATCTTGGCAGGAAGTGACATGTCACTGTGTGACACTGAATTTGTGACATGTACATTCATACCTCATTCTCCGAGTACAGCGACTTGGCCACTATATCCAGCAACATCTTTGTCTCTGCCTGAAACTCATGCTTCTCTGGTGTCCCTACAGCCAATAAAAAGGAACAAATTTAACAGATTGGATGCTCCTCAAAGAAAAGCCACACATTTGATATGTTGAAATCCTAAAGGTACAGTCCATCATATGCAGCTATCCAAAATGTGGTTTAAAGATAGTAATGGGAACTCCCTGTGAAATTATTCTTCCCGGCAAGTTGTTGTTTTGAAGAAATCGTGAAGGTTAAAGGCGCATCGTTGGGAATTTCTGTCAGTAGTTTCATTCGGCAAAGCGGGCGCAGGCATTGACACGACTCACACGCGGGTGTGGTTGCTATAATTCATGGGTTAAGTGCGCGACATCGTGTAGCCGCAAACGGCTCAGTGAGAACGTGTCTCAGACGCTAAATCCTAGGCCTAATTTAAAACATGACTCAGCAACTTTTGATTTGAAATCGAGATCCTAGAAAATTGTTTTCTCGGAATATACAGCATTCACTGAGCTGAAATTTCGTCAGGTCAGTTGCTCAGCACCCTTCTATAGATTTTGAACACTTTTGTTGCTTCAAACGAACATAATGCAAATTACAACTGATGGACGCTACCTTTGAGCATTTTTTTGTTTCAAAACTTCCTCAAGAATCCTCCAAACGTTTTTTTAAATTTATTCTACAGGGAATCAATCGGTTGTTTATTCTTTGTACCCCAACTTTTTACAGATCATCAAGCTAGGCAAGTATATACCAGTGACTGTTTCTGCATCTTGGATAATGTTGTGTAACTGTTCCGTCTCCTCAGCTGGTTGGTCGGATGTTTCGCTGTATTTCCGGCAGGAGGTGCTCAGACATCTCGAGGGCTTGGCTGATGATGAAAGGGTAGGGCACTGAGCACTAAGCTGTCTGCAACTTGCTCCTTGACCTGTGCACACAAAAAAATTTGTACTGATTGTCTACTGAATGTTTATTTTTGGCAATTTTCTCAATTTTCATTTATGGATTAATACCACACCATACACAAGTGGAAACCCTCTCTCATGTGTCGGAGTCAAACACCATTTGTTGAGTTAAAAGTCTATGGGGTGCAGTTGAAATATTTAAACTAAATTAAAATATTCCATTTTTCTTATGAAGGCCAATAAAAAAGAACATGTTTAGCGTCCTGCCTTTAAAGAGGCCAGAATGATGTCACGGTTTAAAAATTTATCATTTTTGTGATTTAAAAAAAAAAAAAAATATAAAGGAGGGGCCTCCAAAAAGGAAGCGGGCGAGGAAGACAACATGTTTTATTTTATTTGGCCTAAAAAGCACGAACCTTAATTGATCAGTAAGTTCTTTACTTAGTTTTAGCCATCCTAAGAATACAATCACAATTATAATCGACTAGTACTGTGTACGAACCCTACAAAACTGGTCTGAAAAATTTCAAGTGTTTTCCAACTAAATGCTTCAATATTTTCCCTGCTTAATTTCAGTTCACTTTAATTTTAGGACATGTTTTCCCTCTCTGATGGTTGATGAGTCATTGCAGGGAAAAACTAGTGGGGTAGGGGCGTACGTATATGCATTCGTCACCATGGTCATAAAACTACATTCCTCCCAATATTTTACCGTTGATAGATCGATAGCATGGATGACCCCTTGCAAGAATAGATGAAATCTGAAAAGGCCTGGTTTGACTTCGAATAACCAGAGGAACAACTCGTTGAACTGCGCGCATGCCTTGCTTCATGGATGTCGCCATTTTGTTTAAACACGTGAAAGCGCGCCCTCTACCGCTGGATTAGTAATAATGTGGCTTGTGTATGGCGCTCCCTCTTAATTGGGGCGGAGTGATGACGCCCTCATTTTGTGCAACACTTTTCATCGGTTGCTATGAGTTACCATTCAACACTCCAGACTCAAGAACCATTGAATTTCAATATAACAGGTCTGGGAGCTAGAACAGCAAAATAATGTCCCCAAAAAAACCCACCCGAATCAAAGATGTGGCGCCTATGCAGGATATGCATACTCTCTGCGCTGGAAATATATAGCCAGAGGTGAGGCAAGCTCTTTGGTATCATCGTTCATCATTCGTCGCTTGCAGTTGGCTATATACGATCTACCACTCTTTCCAAAGCAGAGGTAATCCTACAGAGGGGGGGGGGGGGGGGGGGGGGGGGGGGGGTTTACCATCTTCCAACTTTTAGGGGTGCTCTTAAACAACTGTAAGGATTTTGGAGCTTAGTTTTCATATTCCTCTTTCAAATCAGAACTCTATTCCATTGTGGGAAATGATTACTGAAAACAAATTATCCGAAATTTTAGGGTAAGTTTTGTTTTCATCTCGGGGCACATTCCGCAAAGGGGGCACTTGGGTTAATCGGGTGGGGAGGGGAGGGGGGGGGGGGGGCAAGTGTTCCGCCGCCCCTGCTTGATGATGTTGCATATCTCACACATTGGGACTTCCAAGACATTTATACAATGATTAAGTTTCTGCATATTTATTATTTTTCACAGATTAAAAACGAAGACTAAGGAAGGTATGATACATCTCTTTATATTGAATAATACATTGAAATATTGTATGTTTAGTAGTAATCTAAATAGCACGGAAGATAATAAAACTTTAAAGGGCCCACGTATTTTCATTTTGCAATTTTTAATGGCATTGTTGGTGCCTTTTTTTATTTGTATGCTGATGCAAATTTCCATATTTATGAGCAAAAGTGTGATATCATTTCAGGCGTGCAGAAACCTCAATGTTGAAGCTATTTTGACACCAAAATTTGCCCGAATGTTTGATATTTTGCTGGTAGCAAATTTTCTAGTCTTTGGTGATTCGTTGTTTCAGTACATGGCATTAAGCCACTTAGCAAAGTTTTCTCTGAAATGTTTTCAATAAGCAAATTTTAGGTTGACCGTGAGTTTGAACAAAAAATTGCAGTGAAGCGTCTCCCTGCAATGACGTCACAGTAATTAACAGCGCCCCCATGTTGATAAAAGTGCACTTTTAAATAAGGGATGTCAAATAGTTTTCATATTTGAAGAGGAGTAGAAAGATGCACACAATTGTTTTTCCATGGGCCCGTTAACCTTCGAAGACTTTTCACTCCGACCACTGCGGCCAGTCATGTTGAGTTGCAGCAGCTGGAATGTCTGCCAGGAGTGACCGGGACATGTTTCTCAAGTGTCCCTCGTCTTCCAGCAAGCGGTACCCCATAAGAGTCATCATCTGTGTGCATTTCCCTAATTCGGCGATCGCCTTAGCGTCCTCATACGGGATAGTCTGGCGCCAGGCACGATACTCCTCGTTAGAGCGCCTGGCTGTGGAGTAAATACCTGACTGCCGCGATTTGGTGTTTGCCACGACCCACTTGCTGACCGACTCTGGGACAAGGTCGGCACCGAGAAACGAGTGCAGCCTCCCGGCAGCCCACGAGGGATTTCTCGCTGCGTCCTCGTACCTCAGGAACGCGTACCTGTCTCGTAGGGACGGCTTTCGCATTCCCAGTTCAAAGTTGTACACGTTATATCTGCAGTAAATGCCAAGCATCCCTAGCGTAGCACCGGAGAGTAGAGTGTCATTCCTGCTCCTGTGCGTACGGGCGTAGGACTCGTTGAACCACAATCCAAACGCATAGACATTGGACGCAACCATGGGTCGAGGGTCACGCACAAGGTGTATGACCTTTAACTTGATTCTACTATCCTCCACCATGGGCAGCAAAAGGTTGATATCTGGCATCCGTACCGATTTGACTACAATATATTTGCTCGCCCTGCAAATTTCCTCCGCCAAATCTTGCGTTACATTGCATCTTCCGGAAGCATACCGACGGTCGCACTCGGCGGAAAGTCTGGGTGCCTTGTGGCTCAGACCTTGCGCGTCCTGTTTTGACAGGTACCGCAAGTACATGTCCAGTGTGCTGAAGTCGCATCGAAACAAGTCGTTGAGAAAACTCGCGTAGATGTTGATGAGGACCTCAAAACCTCCAGGTGTGTGGTTGTCTTGAAACCCCGCCTGAAGACTCAGGCCCGGCTCGAAAAGGTAGAACACGTCCTCATTGGTGCCAAGGAGTTCACCCACAAAGGAGGATCCTGTCCGTCCTTGTACTGCCAGCAACAATACGCGTACTTGCTCTGTTGCTCTTTGCTCTGTGTTTGCTGCAACTACCTCTGTGGTCCTCGATGATGTTGCCCTTCTTGCTGCTTGACTACTGGTCTTACAGAGCGATGAGGCCGCTGGCCACGGTGTCACCTCCCAGCCCTTTAGCCATGGTCCAACCACGACCACGGCAACCCAGAAAACTGAAGCTAGGATTATTCCGAAAACAAGGGATCGCTGGTTATATACCGGCGCTCTCCCCATAGTCAAAATTAAATTTAAGTAACCTTTCATCATCATCATTATTTACGTGTTCACGTATGCTGCACATTAATACAACTCCTCCGTTATGCGCAACTGGCTACACAATGATGTTTTCAGTTGTACAACAGTGATTGCGCGCTATAGTGGCTTGATGTCGTTGATCCCAGCCCGAGGCCATTGGTACGACCAAGACCATCGATCGTCACAACTTGAGTTGGGAACTTCCCTTTGTGTTCTAGACGGGAGACCTACATGTGGAGACGTGACGTATTAGCTCGTTGGTCTATACAAATGAAATCCGTTTTTCTTTACACTAGGGATAAGAAACCTCAAGGCTTACCTGCCTAGATCGGCTTATTACTTTTGTTACATAACAGTGTTCTACTTCACCAAGTAGCCAGATCAATAAACGGAAGCTGTCGTCTTGGTACCGGTATTTGTTAATCAGGGAGAAATAATAACGCGGTGGTACGTTTATCGTAATTTATGATGAACACCGGTATATATCTTGCAGGAGTTCGGCGTGATTCATATTAACAGTTTGAAGTCTTTAATCCGCTTGTTAAAACGCCAGTCAGCCTATGCGGCAGCACGGCATCCCTCGGCCACGGGCGCAGTAACTAGACCATTTTGAATGCCGGGGGGGGGGGGGGGGGGGGGGGGGCTGTCATCATGAAAAATATGCCGACGGACCGTCACGCAAAAATGAGTGCCATGATAATTTCCGCCCAAAATGATCCCTTTACCTCCTTGCATTTCTAATTTCCTCAACAAATATATGAATTAATGGTTAATTATGTTGATTTACTTTGAATTTTTTTCAGTGGGATAAGTTCAACCTCAAAAGTCAATTGCCAAACTTTGGCCCTATCATGATGAACAGTTTTGGACATTTTGCTCACCGCAAAACTGCGCTCAGTACAGTACGTAATCATTTATTTGTTGATAAAGAAAATTGTTCCAAAAAAATAATAACCAGGGGCGGATCCAGGAATTTTCGCGGGGGGGGGGGGGGGGGGGGGCATCAGCAAAAATTCTGAAACGTAGGCAGGTTGTTTTCTCCGGACACTTGGCCTCCGAAAATCAATAGGTAGGGGGATAGGTGGTGGTGGGGGGGGGGGGGGAGGCTAGAGTATCATACTTCCAATGGGGGCGCTGTTCAAATCAGACGATTCTTTTTACACTACATTACAGAATAGTGTACAAATACCCCCCTAACCATGGTGTCTCGGTCCGTATTTTGTGCATAGTAATACATTGTTTACAGTATTTTTTTGTTCAGGTCAAAGCAGGGGGCCGGGGGGGGGTTCGCATTATCAAGAAATTTCTATAAAAAAATTCTGACAGAGCTGATGGTGGGTTTGACCCCCAAACACCCCCCCCCCCCCCGATCCGCGCCTGATAACGCCACATGAAAACATAATGGAGGCTACAAGATGATAAGTGAAAAATAATACTGACAGTAGACAAAATATTGTATGTCTAAGTTGATGAATATATGAAGTGATGTACAAAGCAGTTGATTGTTTATTTGCCTCAACAAAGCCAGTTTTATTGGGTTGTGCGCTTTATCAAAGTCAGCTATCCCGGATATTATGCCCCCACCCCCCAATCTCTTATATATCCCCACCCACAAAAATTCGAAGAGGAAAGTCACAGTGCACGAACAATCAAACGGCAGTGGTAGCCTATTTTCCAAGCGCCCATTTCATCCTCGGTACCGCCGTACCAGCAGTGCTTGTACTGTGGGCGCGGCGCTAGAGTATAGTCTGCCTGGTTCAAAGGCTAGCGACATGGCGGAACAAATTTACTCGAAGATGGAAAATGATGTCGGGAAAATCCCAGAAATCAATGATATTAACGGAGTTAAACCGGTAAGTGTTGTCCATTTTCTCAGTAAGAGTGATGTAGAAATTGTGTTCATCATTGATTTCGTGGCGGAAAATCGTAGCATGACCCAACTTCAACTCGAGGCGTTTAAATTTGTTGCCCATTTTCCGGACAAATGTTTAAATCGGGGTCTTTGAATAGGGAGTTTAGGGTAGCCCCATAAATGTGGCCTATTTACTGGACTGCCTCCGTAAACATAGGCCACACATCCACATGTACAAAAACGTGTCGACTTTGCCAAATTTTGATTTTCACATTTAGGCTTAGTTTGTAGGATTTTTTTGTTTTAGAAGCATACTCACCCTCTTTATAGGCTAGTCAGAAAGTGCTGCCTTTTTCAGATGTCTAATTTTTGTGAAATTTCATGTTGAAATTTTGATACGCAAACGTACGTGTAAAAATGAATCTGGAAAATTCACGAAAAATATACATCTGAAAAAGGCAGCACTTTCTGATTAGCCTATAAAGAGGGCGAGTATGCTTCTAAAGCAAAAATAAACTACAAACTAAGCCTAAATGCGAAAATCAAAATTTGGCAAAGTCAACACGTTTTTTGTACATGTGGATGTGTGGCCTATGTTTACGGAGGCAGTCCAGTAAATAGGCCACATTTATGGGGCTAGTTTAGGGGTACTGTACCCATCCTGACAGATTCCAACAAAACATGTCGTTGGGGTTTGATGGATTGAGTTCTGTTATGGTTAAGTTTTGGGACTCTCCTGTACATAGTTTTGCAAGTCCCAAATTTTCGAACTACTAAATAGCTGACAGTGGCACTGTTAAAAACCAACAGGATTGTTGGGTAAATTTGTTCACTGTTTAATGTTGACTGGGTCTTTTCCTGGGTAGCGTTAGTGACAATTTGTCTTTTCCTTTTTCTTTCCAGACAATTCCTCTTGATTTGTCAAAGTTGTCAGAGAAAGAAAGATGGAAGTAAGTTCACTTGTTTTATTTCAGATAGATGTCACAATTTTTGATTTGATATGTAAATGTTTTGCAGATATTCCGACATGTCTAGATGGGGTGTTTTGTGGATACAACATTGGTTTTTGCCAGTAGGGTTTCTTCAAGGAATACAATGTAGCTGGCCTGTAGCCGTGGACAATGCTACAAGTACCATTGTGGACACCATTATGTCATATTTGTTTTCCACTGTTTACATCTAATTTCAATTCACCCCTTGGCTTTTATAGGATAGAGCATCAGCGATTACATGAGAAGCACAAAGGTCACGAGGCCATGCATGCAGAGATGATCCTGATTCTGATTGCCACGCTGGTGGTGGCACAGGTTCTGCTTGTCCAATGGAAAACCAGACATTTCAAATCGTACCAGGTAAATCTTATAAATACTGGTATACGTTTTCTACAATGGTCACCGAGCCAAGATCGGTGCCTAGGGAACGTCTCAAAAGTCGGAACGCGTGGAAAGTTCCCTAAGGGAACATCACCTTTTCCATTTGAGAATATGTGTTGTCCCCACTGTGAACAGCCTGGGAACACCAGGTGATCCCGCATGGGAACGTTGGTCTATGCGCGTGCATGCTTACTCAGGAACAGCCTGTTCCAGTTGGGAACATGCTGGAAACACAGCGCGTTCCCGATGGGAACACACAGTGTTCCAGCTAACGGAAGGGAAAGTTCCGACTTAGAGAAGCTCCCCAAGTGCCGCTCTTTTTATAATGTGTTGATCAAACCCTGAAATGACTTGAGAATGTTTTGCTATAGGCCCTAAGTGCTTATCAAATCAAAACTGAATGTTCATCTTGTGTACACACACACATGTATCTCTCACCTTATGGCTGTGTCCTGTTTGACTCTAGATCGCTACATTGGTAGGTATGTGGGCCATACCGGTATACTTCTGTGTGACTCTTCACTGGTGGCGATTCCTGATCATCTGGACCATCTTCTCTCTCATTACTGCCTTCATATCGTACAGAGCTACCCGCAACCCCTTACCGGGATCAACTCCAAGGTCAGGCAGTTATACTCTTACTTTAATGTGGGGGGGGGATGGGGGGGGGGGGGGGGGGGGGGGGATGGGGGGGGGGGTGGACCGGACGTAGGCCAAGCGGGAGGTGGTGGTAAAGTTCCTCAAGAAAGGGGAGGTGGGGCTGGGGTGTTAAGGGAGACAGCACGCAGGTTTCTTCATGATCCATGCACTCTGACCTCCAGTTGTGCCCAGTAGAATCTGGATTTATTAAGGCAACCTGTCAGACCAACCTCTGGACCTGCACGATCTGAATAAGGACATGCAGACGGTGGGAGTTAAAGGTCACTGCTGCCAAAATGCGCGTTAAAATCTAGAGTACATTACAGCCGTGTAGTCAAAATGTGTGACGCGAGAGGCGTCGTTATGCAAGAACAAGTTCTTGTAACACTAACTGAACTGAACCATGAAACAAAAGGGCACTACATGAGGTCCCAGCAAAAATAAGAAGGAATGATATATTAACATGTAGTTGAGAAGAGGAAGAGAGGTCCAACTGGATATTCCTAGTGCAAGAAAAGGTAACACGAACTACAATACATTAATGCAATGAATAACTATGTAGCATTGCAATATAAACGTGTAGGTGAGACCAGAGGCACAACTGGATATTACTAGTGCAAGAAATGGTAACACGAACTACTAGTACTACATGTATATATTAATACAATGAACAAATATAAGGCTTGGCAAGGCCATCACTACATTTAAGAAAAGACTAAATGTATTACGATACAATCTTTATCCTTTCACAATAATTCCTTTTACTTCCCAGACAAGTGTGGGAGCCTTGTTGTACATCTTTTATCATTGGCAAAATGAGACAGAACTGGGCAGAGGTCGAAATGAGGGTTTGCAGGTAGAAGGAAAGAGAATAAAATCCTTACAATACTGTTTGTTGCACTTATGGCTGTTTTCAAGTAAGCATTTATTAATGTGTTGATAAAGTAAAATACTGAGAAAAAGCCCTTTAAAGTTTCGAGTTTTGTATCTGTGGAAATGGAAGATAACAATTGTTTTTCCACATGTTTTGATACTAAGTCTTTATTGTGTAGTACAGTATGTAGACGTATCAAAGATTACAAATATCATCAAATCTAAAAATACAAAAAACCTCACCCCATTCACTTTTCACTGTGGCCTGTGCACAGTTCAGTCTCATTTTGCCGAAACACCACCCAAATAATCTGCATTGATCATGCTTTCCTCACCAGACAGCACTGTATGGAGTTTGCAAAAAGAATCATGCAAACAATTTCAAGTTATCATTTGGGGGCTTTCCCCTCTGTCTCCCCATCCCCAACAGGCTAGTGTACAAATGGTTCTACACAATCTACAAGATCAGTTACGGTCTTGGGGTGTGCGGCTACACCGTCATCATGTGCACCTTCCTGAACCTCAACCTGCTTTTCCTGATCAAAACCGACAAGTCTATGGACTTTGGTCTGGTGCTGCTCTTCTACGGACTCTACTATGGGGTACTGGGACGGGACTTTGCTGAAATCTGCTCCGAACAGATGGCGGCACGGATAGGAGTGAGTGTTTCTTGCCCATTTAATTTGCCTTGTGTCTCGTGGAGATCTGCCAAAAAACTGGTTTATATTCTTAGTTGTAAGCCAGTATACAAATGTTGCCTGCTGTGACAGGGTCCATCGTGTTTTGTACACCCGAGGGTGAACAAAGCCCATGGACCCCGTCACAGCAGGCAACAATTGATTTGTTATACATCGGTAATAGATTGCAGCTGTCCAATTATGTCACTGGTAACGTCTGAAACTGGGGGTCTCTTCCTGTTGCGGTGCAGAATTGGCGAACCATTCAGAATTGGTGAACTATTCGCACAGAATTCAAAAATCAAATTTTTGATCTCATCTTTGGAACAAGAGAGAAACCTTTTCTTTGCGGGCGACCTGTTGTCATCTGCCAACATTATTATGGTGAAATTGCGGCAAATTTGGCACATTTATAAAAAAAAGAAAACGAACAGTGACGAACGATGTAAACAATGACAGTCATAGCAGAAATAGTGCTTCACTGTCCCCCATGGCACATCTCACATGAACATACATCAGTTTACATAGTACCAGCATAGCTACAACCTCGTACCCGAGGTCACACTAATACAATACAACGCGGTGGAAACAACACTTTTAACAGCGGGAAAGATCAAGGTAATGTACCTTGTGGGATACATCACTCATGTGCCATGGCGTACAACACTCAAACGTTTTTTGGCATGTCTTGTGATCCACTGTTGACCAATGAGAATTCACACTCTATCACAATTCAGTGTGTTAACTGCCCCTCCGAACAAGACTTAACAATTTTCACTTTACCATACAAACAGTAGATAATATGTACAGAATTTTGTGGTGCAAAGATATCTGTATCTGAAATGTGAAATTTCTCTTAGAATTGAAAAAGAGGTTTAAATGTTACGAGCAATTTCGACAGTTAAATTAAAAAAAAAATAGTTTAACATTAAATTTGTACTTAAGAACAAGAAGAGAAGAAATTTTTGGTAGCAGATTATTTATCACATTTATCAACGACAAGACAAATTTGCGCAGATATGCAGTATGTGCAAATTCAAACTTTAATTCACTTGAAATTTTGAAATTTGGGACAATCTAGGGCTAAATGTAAGCAGAAAAGTATGTACGGTATCACTTTTATATAAATACTTAGGATGATGTGTATTTGGATGACAGCAGGCCACGTAGTGCCTGACGCAGATTCTGATTCCGTAGATAATAGATGACTACATTCAGCCAGCTGTTTGACAGCATCAAAGCGTCCACCAGTTTAATGGTCTTGAAATCCCAGACTTCATTGGTGGCCGTCAGGGTAAAGACAATAGTTGGAATCCAGGTGACAATGAGCGTCCCTGTGATGATGATGATGGTGATGGTGGCTCGGGTGTTGATTTGCCTGTGGTTGCCTGGGTTTCCATTCGTTTGGCTGACAGTGGTAGTATCCCTCGAGTGACGGTGGGCGATGAGAGAAATACGCACGTAAAGAATGATGATGGTGACTAGTATCAAAATAATGAAAATACTGCCTCCAAAGTATATTCTCCAGTCATATTGTCGTGGTTCATACCAGCACAGCCCATCATTAACCATGTATTTGAAGTCAATCCCAAAAATGACAGTGAGCATCAGAATGGTGGCTGCCCAGCAGCTGCAGACAGTGATCTTGGATCTCTGCGTAGTCATCAAGCGAGGGTAGTGAAGTGGATAGGAGATGGCAATAAACCGTTCGATCGTCAGTAAAAAGATTGACATGATGCTCACATTGTAGAAGGCGCTTGACAGGAAAGTGATTGCTGTGCAGAGAAAGTCACCCATCAGCCAGACTCCGGTGTAGAGCTGTGTTAGGAGGAAGGCTTCGGACACCCCGGTTAGTAGGTCGCTAACAGTCAGAGAAGCCAGGAACACTTTAGTGCTGCTCTTGATGCCCTTAGCCCGATGCAAGGCGACGAGCATAAACGGATTCAGCAGCAAGTTCAGAACAATTGTGAGTGTCATGAAGACAGCAGCGAACACACCAATGGGCGTCGACCAAATGTCATGCTCAACGTCCTCTCCCGTTGTATTGAACGTCACATTCATTTCCAGAAAGGCAGACTCCATATCTAAGCAGGCAGGACTGTTGTATGTTTTTCGTCATATGCCGTCTTTGAAGTTCCTTAAAGTAGATTAACTGAAATGGACCAAAAAGAAACCTGCAATGTAGACATACAGGTTTACTCCTATTCAGAATTACAGAATCCTATTGTACAGATATCATGTACAACCTGCATCCTGCTCTAGTGGGTGCGTCACTGTAGTGAAGTCATTTCCAGTTCAGAATAACACCCACTCCCTGTTATAAGTAAACCAGTGTGTATGTCCATCCACACGTAATCAGCTCAACCAAACCAAGAAACCTGAAGCACATGCACAACAAAGTGAGTGATGACAGTCTTGTCTATGCTGAGGCAGTGGTTTTAATGATTAACGCACCATGAAAAGAACACTTAATTACTCCATTCTGATTAAGGTGCTTTTCCGGACCTGTCAATTTTCATGAAGTAAATAACCTCCATGTATATTTAAAAGTACATACGTGTAAACAGAAATGTTTACGTTACATACCTAGTTTGGACATTACTTTGGTTTCATGTAGATAAGAAAAACCTGTAAGAAACTCTATTTACTTACTTTCTCTTTCAACCCCAATTTTGTACCTTGAATCCCTCGAGTGTTTCTCTTCATTTTGCAACGATAAACCTAACCCCAAAATGCCTCTAAACCAATTTTCCAGAGAGGGGGAAGCTTTGCCTGTACATTTGGCCCGTCCACACAACGTAAAAAAATGTGGACATCTTTTGTTCAGAAGTCCACATAGTGCTTGTAATGCGCAAGTGGCAAAGTCGAAATAACGCAAGTCTTCTGAGTGGGTTACTTTGTAAGGCCAATACACATACTACATTGATGGTTTCCCGAAATTGCTTTTGCAATGATGACTTTGCCTGCGGTTAATTGTCATTAGCCAGTGCCTCAGTGACAGTAATTACTGACTGGCATTAGGAGGTAATTTATGAGCGGCAAGGAGAGTTGTCAATAACCTTCAGCCCATAAGAGGTTTGCAAACAGCATTAAGAAATAGACAATACAGTCCTGTGGACACAACTCCCTGAAGGAGGTCACGGGTCTGACGGGCAAGTGCCTTATGAGCCCACGTTTCATAGTCACGCACCTCGAGATCACATGCTTTTTAGTCAATTGCTGGACAAAGATACGCTGTACAATTACGTCACATAAAGTTTTTAGATATGTGAACTAGCAGTCCTAAGTATGTCACAATTTTGTACTTAAAAAGTGAAGATTTTTTTGATAGCAGATATTTTCTCCAACTTGCCGATGGCAAGACAAGTTTGTGCAGATGTGCATTATGTGCAAATTTTAATTTTAATTCACCAAGAAATTTAGGACAATGTAGGCCTAAATGTAAGCAGACAAAAGAGTAGGGTATGATATAAATGCAATGTATAGGATGATGTATATTACAACCGGCAGCTGCATTTTGGTTTGGATGACAGCAGGCCACATAGTGCCTGACGCAGATTCTGATTCCGTAGATAATAGATGACTACATTCAGCCAGCTGTTTGACAGCATCAAAGTGTCCACCAGTTTAATGGTCTTGAAATCCCAGACTTCATTGGTGGCCGTCAGGGTAAAGACAATAGTTGGAATCCAGGTGACAATGAGCGTCCCTGTGATGATGATGATGGTGATGGTGGCTCGAATGTTGATTTGCCTGTGGTTGCCTGGGTTTCCATTCGTTTGGCTGACAGTGGTAGTATCCCTCGAGTGACGGTGGGCGATGAGAGAAATACGTACGTAAAGAATGATGATGGTGACTAGTATCAAAATAATGAAAATACTGCCTCCAAAGTATATTCTCCAGCCATATTGTCGTGGTTCATTTAAGCACATCCCATCGTTAACCATGTATTTGAAGTGAATCCCAAAAATGACAGTGAGCATCAGAACGGTGGCTGCCCAGCAGCTGCAGACAGTGATCTTGGATCTCCGCGTAGTCATCAAGCGAGGGTAGTGAAGTGGATAGGAGATGGCAATAAACCGTTCGATAGTCAGTAAAAAGATTGACATGACGCTCAGATAGTAGAAGGCGTATGACAGGAAAGTGATGGCTGTGCAGAGAAAGTCACCCATCGGCCAGACTCCGGTGTAGAGCTGTGTTAGGAGGAAGGCTTCGGACACCCCGGTTAGTAGGTCGCTAACAGTCAGAGAAGCCAGGAACACTTTAGTGCTGCTCTTGACGCCTTTAGCCCGATGCAAGGTGACGAGCATAAACGGATTCAGCAGCAAGTTCAGAACAATTGTGATTGTCATGAAGACAGCAGCTAACACACCAATGGGTGTCGGCCAAATGTCATGCTCAACGTCCTCTCCCGTTGTATTGAACGTCACATTCATTTCCAGAAAGGCAAACTCCATATCTAAGCAGGCAGGACTGTTGTATGTTTTTCGTCATATGCCGTCTTTGAAGTTCCTTAAAGTAGATTAACTGAAATGGACCAAAAAGAAACCTGCAATGTAGACATACAGGTTTACTCCTATTCAGAAGTACAGAATCCTACTGTACAGATATCATGTACAACCTGCATCCTGCTCTAGTGGGTGCGTCACTGTAGTGAAGTCATTTCCAGTTCAGAATAACACCCACTCCCTGTTATAAGTAAACCAGTGTGTATGTCTATCCACACGTAATCAGCTCAACCAAACCAAGAAACCTGAAGCACATGCACAACAAAGTGAGTGATGACAGTCTTGTCTTTGCTGAGGCAGTGGTTTTAATGATTAACGCACCATGAAAAGAACACTTAATTGCTCCATTCTGATTAAGGTGCTTTTCCGGACCTGTCAATTTTCATGAAGTAAATAACCTTCATGTATATTTAAAAGTACATACATGTAAACAGAAATGTTTACATTACATACCTAGTTTGGACATTACTTTGG